TAAAACAGTGTGAAATGATTACCTGTTCCTCTGGATTTGTCTATTATCACGATCTCTGAGCTGGTAAGGTCAAATCTTAGCAGTGCAGCCGACAGTGCACCTGTCATGCCTGCACCAGCTATGACAATTCGCTCAAAAGTGTTTGCCAACATTTCTAAATTAATTGTTTGGTTTTTTTTTCAGTGCTTCCATACGTATGGAACTAACATTTCTGTTCTTCACATTTCAGGTCACTTGATCAAGTTGACGATTACATAAGGGGATGTGATGGTTTGGGGAGTGAAACTAATAACAATGTGACAGAACTATGGAACATCCAAATCCCATTGACCAACACACAGCATAGTAAATTTCAACTTGAAAAAAAAAAAAAAAAAAAAAAAAAACTTTAATGAGCCTTTTTTTATGAAAGATGATTTTTTTTTTAAAACAATTTTTAATATTGATGCTTACACACTGTCAAAGGAGAATTTAAGGTAAAATTTTATATTATGATAAGGCCACTTTTTTAGCCATCAAAAGCACAGGAGCTTGGATTTGTTTGCACTGAATATTCAATTTTCTATTTTTATACCACATACTGAATACTAGAAGCTTAGTAGTGTTCATTATGTGGTATAAAAATAGAAAATTAAATATGTAGTTCTAACTATGAAAAGGAGTAGGTTTTGAAAAGGCCCTAAAATGGCCCCTATATTCTTATTTTTTTTTTTTTTAAATGACCCTATTTCTAGCTTTAATTTCAAATTATGATTTATTGACCAATATAACAATGAATCATAGTTGAAACATAGGAAATATACCTTTTTTGTTGAAAATTTATGTTTTTAAAATGTTATTTTCATGATGTACGTCACACATAGCACACCATATTGATTTTCCACAAAAATTATAGAAAACAAGTAAATTTCCATTGTTTTTTTTGGACTGGAAACATAGAGGGCATGTGTCAAAAAGAAATATATTTTAATAAATTGTTATTTGTATCATTTTACATATCTGAATTTGAATATTTAGTTTGTCAAAGCCTGAGGGGCATTCTAGTAGGTCTTGTATTGCATGGTGATAATTTTTACTGTATACAGCTCACAAACAATTTGTATAGTTTTCCTGAAAATTCTGCAGGAGATAAACCTTACCTGTATATTAATTCTACAAATGTCATATTGGCTCCAACTGCTTTTATATAGTGTTTGAGATATTATATAAAGCCAAAAACTTTGAAATTTACTAAAAAAATTACATTTCAGGGTGAATAACTCCACTAATAGTTGCCCTATTTTTCTGAAAATCCCACAGGAGATAGACCTTGATCTGTTGATCATTTCAACACCATTAACATTAAATTATTTAACTATACTGGTAGTTCCAAATAACACATCTGATGTTGCATTCAGGTACCTTTATATTAAAATTTAATATTCTATAACACTTCCAAGGTTTTGGGACAGACTTTTGATTGTTGCAAGCAGAAACAGCTTTTCTTGTTGATAAACTATGTCCATCTCCAGTTTTAAATAGGTATGATGTGGTCAACTGGAAATTTTATTGTTTTTCTTTGAATTTGTTATCCTGCAGTTTCTCTTAGAATTGAGGAGATTATATTGTTTGTGTGTTCACCTGTCTGTCAATAAATTTTTGAATGGTTTTACATAATACATTATGTTTATTCTGATAAACAGTATAAAATGGTTTATATCCAAAATAAAATTTTGTAAAGGTTGATTTTTGCAGAGGTATAAAGTTCTTCAAAGATTATTCTCTGGACAATTTGTGGTGTTTACAATGTTATAATAAGAGGTTTGTTGTTTATTAGTGCAATTTTATTTCATTGAGTTATATTGTAAGGCAATGTGAAGAAATAACTTTTTGTAAGTCATATTTTAAGTTATAGTTTAATTCATTTTGGTGTCTTTTTTTGTTGGTTTTTATATTTGAAAATGATTGATAGATTTCAGTGTGGAAATATGTGCTAACTACATGAACTGGCACTTAAAAATAATGTTGTAATTCCCTATGGCAAAGTTGACCGTAGATGGTCAAGGTTGTTCTGTTTTTAGGCATTCAAAAGTTCACATTTTGTTCTCAAGTTTTTTCAAGTACAAAGTAAAAAGAACCATGAAAAGCAAATCTGAAAAACAACATTTTTTAACAATGAAGCACTTATAGAAGAAAAATACACAATACAAGAAATGATAATAAAGTAAATGGGGAATGTGTCCATGGGACACAGATGATGCCCCCGCTTGCATATAACGTTATAAAGGGACAAAACTCAAGAACTGTAAAAGTGACGCTACCCAAAGTTGTACTTGATCTGAGTTTTGTGGTAATAAGCATTGCATTTTTTGTACATAAATTAGGCCGTTCGTTTTCTCGTTTGAATTGTTTTACATTGTCATTTCGGGGCCTTTTATAGCTGACTGTGCGGTATGGGCTTTGCTCATTGTTGAAGGCCGTACGGTGACCTATAGTTGTTAATTTCTGTGTCATTTGGTCTCTTGTGGGGAGTTGTCTCATTGGCAATCATACCACATCTTCTTTTTTATATTGTGTTTACGTTTCATAACATTTAGTTGAGGCAAACTTAAGTTAGAGAACGAAAACGAAAAATTCAGCAATTTTTCCATTTGTAAAGGGACATAACTCTAGAACAGTAAAAGTGATACCACCAAAATTCGAATTTGATCTGTGTTTTGTGGTAATTAGCATTGTGCATAAGTTTCAAATTATTTGGTTGAGGCAAACTAAAGTAAGAGAACGGAAATGCATTTGTATCACAATGAAATTTATTATTAATTTAGTATTCAACCAAAAACCAACAAAAGGTTTTAAATAAAAATGCATTATAACTTGGTACTTGGTAGAACTTTAAACTGCTTTAGGATTATTGGATATTTGACCTCCCTATTATTATTGATACAGTAAAATATCAGCAGCAAGTCACAATATGAAACTTTTTCTCAAGTGAGAGTAGTGAATGAGCTCAAAAAGGCTTTATATTGTGTCAAGCAACTGATACTATACAATATCAATATGATAAAAATCTGATAATCCAATTATTGAATTGTATTTGTGTGTTTTTTATGAAAGAAACAATACTTTTTCTTTGTTTTCACAGGAAAATTAACAGGGACTTTATAATTTTGGGTCAAACTTATCAATGTCAGGTCAAACATTATGATGTCTGTGATCAGCCTGGGTCAACGTTATTAAGGCCAGGTAAAGCATATTTGACAAAAGAGTTGTGATATGCAATTTTATGAAGAGTACAGGCAAAGAGATGAGTCGTGACTGATATACTTGTTATAAAATTACAAATGTTCAATTTCATAATTTTGATAAAAAAAGCTGTGATATGCAATTTTATGAAGAGTACAGGCAAAGGGATGAGTCGTGACTGATATACTTGATATAGATTTACAAATGTTCAATTAAATAATTTTAATTCAATAATCATTAAAAATAAATTATCACAAGTAAGCACAATTAAATAACAATATAAGTTTTCCATATAAAATAAATCCCTCACAAATAATCCATGTTATTGAAATAAAGTTGAAATTCATTTCAAAACAGTTAAAATACCAACAGAAAAATAATTCAACTGCTGTAAGAATTTGTCTTTAGGTTTATTTGTTTGTTTGAAGTATACTGAATTGATATAATTGATATCTTATAGCAATACATGCATATACTAAAAAATCTTCCTAATTTTAAAAAATCTCACTACAGTAGTTAGGGATATTTTGAAGAAGTTAGCTGATGTGTCAACTTTGCCATTCACTCAGAAACTCAATGTATTATTATAGTCCTCTTTGTGATTGAAAGGCTAAGTTAAGATATCAATAAACTTTGAAGAAGAAAAAAACCTTTCACACGGATTAAAAAATTTCATCAAGACTTGCAGAACTATTTCACACATAGGAATTCATACTTCTGACATCATGCAATGGGTTTATACACATATTATATCATGTAAACTTTTTGGTTTCCATGATGCCAACCAATGAAATAAGACTTAACATACAACTTTTGAATAATAAATAAATATTCATATATCACTAGGTAGGAAAAGGTAATTCCAAATAACGGATACAAAATTGTGGAAATTAAATTTACAATAAATACTTATACATTTGTGTTTACAGCAAAAGCACTAATGTGTGTAGTAAATACATAGAATGAAAGTGACTTATTTGTTATTTGAATGGCATTTCTTTTATTTCTTTTCATTCAAAATCTACCTGGTAATATTACTTTTATAGGTATCTATATGTTCCATGATTTGACCGGCTGACAATGACAACATTTTACAACAAGAAGTAAATACAGTTATCATATTGAACTTATAACCCACCTTACAATCGGTCGATCTTTAACACACTGTTATTTGTACACTATCATATAAGTAATAATAAGTAAATATACAAGAGATATGTGATTATCAATACTTTTAGAGACAGTTTCTATAAATATTACTTTAAGAGGTGAAAAAAAATCATACTTAAGTATTAAAAAGCAAAAAACCCAATTATAAACATATATCAATTCTCGTGAATTTAATAACCTCACTTAAAAAATCATATATATCACTTGAGCGGGACTTGCTTAATATACCGGTACTATAGAATTTCATGTTTGACCCCAATGATATAAAATTAGGTTTCCTGCTGAACAAATAATTCCTATATCTAATGCACACTTTATGGTACAAACTTGTAAGTCAGATAAAGTTCTAGATTCTCTTGAAATATACATTTCAAAGTAAAGGATACAAATATTCAATTTGATGTCACAAAGTACATACAGTCTTGTATGAAATAGGTGTCAATCAAACAATTTAGTTTATTACAAATAATATAAGTCTGGGAATAAAAAGTATCATCATCATTATATCTAACACAAACAACAAATAGATTCTTGAAGTTAGACTTCATAAATATCACAGTATATTTTGCTTGAAATATTCAAGTCTTTGACCACATAATGGAGAGTTTTCTATCCAAAGGGCTGTACTATAAAACCAATTGTATGCCTGAAAGTATAGTAGCAGAAAGTAACGGATCAGATAATAATTCAAATGGAATGGAACAATCCCTCATTTAAGTCAATGGAAACCAAGGAATTTGTTTTTCCCAATTTATATACACTTAAGTTCTCCTGATGAAAACAGTTTAAGACTACTGTTTTACTGGCTACTTTCTGAATGGAATTATTGGTCCACCATTTATGAAATGATAGACATGCCCACTTTATTGCAAAACATGCCCATGTTATTGCAAAAACATCCCCATGTTATTGCACAGTGTGTCTGGAATTCATTTGGCCAACAGATGATCAATCTGGAAAATACAAAAATCGTTAATAGCATGTTAATAACCATTAAAGATTCAAATAATCATGAGCCTGGCAAAATTTAATTATTTGCTTATGAATTGCCTGGCACTTTTAAGATACCAGTTTATAAAATCCTGAATCATATCTGGTAGCTTTTAAAAATCTACATGGGGGATTTTAAGCACAAGAAGAACTAAAGCATTTAATACATGGCAAAAGTGTTTTAGTCGCATATCCTACGGTTGTGAATCACTAAAAATTTGCTTAAATGTCATTTTCATTTCTTTACATGTTTATGTTTTGAGGTTTTGGTTTATGTAATTGAGGATTTAAAAGGTCAGATCAACATCGATCTCTCAAGAGGGGAAATCCCTCATAAAGTGGGAAGTTTGCAGGTCTGCTTCATTAGGAAATATTAACTGTTTTTTTCTATGGAAGGATAGGGTTTATGCATCATGTATTGTTTTCTGCAAAACTGAAGGAGGATGGAAGTTATGAGGAAGCATGATAGCCCTTAAACATAACTGTCAGTTACTGCTTTATAGGAGACTTACATATTTCTTTCTTCTCATTTAAACTTAATATATTTACCTGCATCTTGTACATTTCTTTAACATCATTTAAGTCTAATCTCAATTCATCAGCCTCCTCTACCTTTTCTCCATACATCTGTAATATGGCATTATACCTTTGGTTCAGTTCCTGAAATAAAGAAAGAAGTGTTATAGCTCCTCATACATCTGTAACAAGCATTATTCCATATTGGTATTATTTAAGTAGATTTTGAATAAAACAGCTTATTCACCTGAAAGAAAGTATTTAAGTGATATTCACAGCATTGAACTTTGCATGCTTTTACATGTATAATTATGGTATAATGTTTGATGTACAATTGGTTTTGGTAAATAATTGTCATCAAATACATTGTATTCTTGATGCCATCCTTAAAAAAAGCTCAATATTTTGGATAGCATTGTTGTAAGATTGGTAGGCTATAACCAAGAGAATCGTGTGACCACCATCGTACATAATATGATTTTTTTTTGTAATATTCATGATACACAAGTTTTTCTTTCCCAAAATTTTCTTTCTTTCTGGGGAAACATGAAGAGTATCTTCATCAGTCAGTGGGACACAAGTTAAAATTTCAAGAGCACTAACATAATGCAACAATAATATGTGTCTACAGGATACCATGCCTCATCCTCACTATCGCATTTCTATGTACAGTGAACTGCAAAATCTGCTTAGAAACCCTAATTTGGCATATGTTTTAAAAAGTCCACATCATAATGAACCTGTGTACTAAGCTTTGTGTTGATGTCCCCACAATTCATGGCAATCTACCTTTACACAAAACTTTAAACTGATATAAAGTGGAAATTATTTCAAGGGAGTTATTATTTTAAGGGGGTACCTAACACTTTGACTAAAATAGATTTGGCTCGTTTAAATTTCATAAAATTTTGACAAAATATTTACTATGATCTGTTGACAAAAATATAAAAATATAAAGAAATTTATACTACACGATTTACAGGAATAATCTAATTGCACTAATTCATTGAGAAGCTTGATTTCTCTTTACTAATAGTGATTAAAATTTTCATCTGATTTTTTAAAGAGTTAACTCCTTTAGGTGTTCTGTACCCCTTAAATTAAGGAAGTTATCTCCCTCATGCATAGCTCTAATTCCTTGTCCCATTTGGCTTCACTTTAAGTGCTTTTTGTATCCTGCTCTACAACGTTTGTATTAGATTTTAGATTTTCAAATTTTTTGGCTTCAAGCATCACCGAAGAGACATTGTCAAAATGTACATCTGGTCAGTAAATTTGGTACCGTTAATGTTATCATAATTATATTATGATATACACACAGATCTAAAAGCATACATGTAATGTCCCCTAATATTGTAGGTAGTGCATAAAATATTTTTTAAATCTGCTTCCAAAAGATTAGTGAATAATCAATATTGGATTTAACCTGTGCATTCTATTCTTAGTTTTGATGACAACATTTGTTTATCAGCAGGACAACTAAAAACAATTTAACTGTAACTTTACCTTAAATTGGTCCTGTAAATGTGGTAACTCTTGGACTTTCTCTTCTAGTGCTTCATTTTGATTGGTTAAATTAACAAGTTCTCTTGCCATGGACTCTCTTGTTCTTTCTAGTTGCTGAATATCACTCTGTAAAATATAAATCAAATATTCTCAAATGACATTGAATTTTGAAAATGGTAACTTTTCTAAAAACTATGAAAAATCAAATAAAAAATCCCCATCAATATTGATTTTGCATCATACTTTCATTTTATTGTCTTTAAACTTCATTCACACTCACAAGTAAAGCAAAATTATGGTTAACTATGGCAGATATAAGACTTGCAACAAAAGACAACACAAAGTTCTTGTTAAAGTAAATTAAGATACAGATTTGTATTTCTTAATATAAAACAAATCCTCAATATTTATCCTTACTATTGGTGTTAATTCTGTTTTCTATTTCCCTTATATATATTTTTAGTCAAACATTTACTCAGTTGCTTATTTCAATGGATTTTGTTTAGACTTCTTCATTTTTACCCACTTATACATGTTATACTTAACCAGCTGATACTAAATCATGCTGTTCTACACTCTATATGTAGAGGTTCTACTAACTAGAGGCTCAGCTATTTCTCGCTCTCTCTCTGAGTATCAGTTAATCTAAATCTCCTTCTCACTTCTATCTGAGCTATTTATCCCTAATAAAGTTTCAGATGACACTAATTTTTCTACTTGTTTGAAGCAAAGCTATTTCTGCATCTTTGCAAAATTTCTACAGACTTCAAACTGACATACTTCTATCTCCCTAAGTTACTGTTAATACAAAATTTGATGCTGGTTTGAAGCTTAGCTTTTTCTGCCTCTCTGAGGTGCAGCTGAGACAAGAATTTGTACTCACTTGTAACTGAGCTATTTCTCCTTCTCTGAGTTTCAGTTGAGACTGTAGATTTTCTAGTAGGTTAGCAGCACCACTTTGTCTTAAGCTGTCATACAAACTGGTTTTTGGTGTGCCTAATATGAAGTGTTTATCTATATCATCCTACAGAAATAGAAAATAAACAAATTGTATGACAGAAACATCAGACCATAAACCTTATACTTACAAAATACTGATTGTTTAGTTCTTTTACCTTTTGATATATTATATTCAGATTACAAAAAAAATGTTGCTTCCAGATTAGCAACTCAACATGATCAAGCTGCAGACCAAATATTAAATCATTCCTTTCAACAAGAGCCGAGAAAACTTTGAAGACAATTATTGATAAAAGATTACTTTTGGACAGAGTCCAGAGGTTACTAGACCTGCTTTCACCTTCAGCAATGCAGGTGAAAATGCATATTTTGACAACTTTTTTCATCTTTGTTGACTATGGTTAAGATAATAAACATTGTAAGTGTATCTGATTTCTCCTAAGTATTTTCAGATAGCAGAAAACATAAGACAAGCAAATGATAGAATAAAGCAACTCACAATGATTCAATGACTTAGACAACAACAAACATATTGCAGAAGTATAAAATACAAACCTCTGTGAAGGAAGTCAACATAACATTGGGTGTCTCTGTCATACTACTAACACTTTCTGCTCTAGATATAGACACAGGGGAATGTGTAGAGGATCTAGACTGAGGTCTCTGTAGATCTCTTTCCTGTTAAAAAGTATATAAACATGTTTCAATTAATAAGATAATACCTTTTAAACTACAGCAAACAGACTTAACTTTTATAAAATTTTGCTTTAGGTAATAACATAAATAATACCAATTGTTCTGCACCAGATGTGCATTTCGAAAATAAATGTCTCTTCAGTGATGCTCCAGGTCAAAATATTTGAAAATCCAAATTTTATTAAAAAATATAAAGAGCATATAAACCGAAATGGACAAAAAGTATAGCCAAAGATGGGCAAGGAATCAGAGCTTTGCATGAGGGAGATATATTCCTTAATCTAAAATAATTTTCTAAACTTTGCAACAGCAATTTTTAATAACATTATATCCGTATTTTCATGCCAGTACTAGATTGCAATATACTCGATTATATCTTGTTTGGCATGTAGATTAATTGCCGTAAATTTCTTTCCTTTTAATTGCATCTTGATGAAAAATAACAAAAAGTCTGCAATAAGTTATCTGCATTTTTTGTACCAAAATATATTTTTATGTTTTATTTCATAATGATATGCAAATTTGCCCCTTATTTAGCATAATGATTTATTCATACCAATTGAGTTATCTGCTCTTGGGCTAAATAGAACTTTTTCTTTTCCTGTTCACATTTGGTTTTCTCCATGTCAAGCTGTGTTTCTAAAAATACCTGAAATCATACAATTTTGATAAAATATTTGATGAAATTCCATTTTCTATAAAATTAAAATGATATAGGAAAATGTTGTCTATTTGCTAATAAAACAAGTTTCCAATTTTAATTTCTGATTTGGAAAAGTTTTGCTTTTAAACCCAATGGTAATTTCTCTTACCTTCTCCTTTCTGATTTCAGCCATGTCACGAGATGCGTGTTGTCTGAAAGCCTCTAGCTGTGCAGCTTCACTGAAATACATTAACAATCCTTTAAATTTTTTCATGGATGAAAATTGAATATATTGTCTTTGACACCTTTGAATTCAACAGCATAACCAATTGTTAAAAAAAAATGAAAAAGTAAAAAAATTAGTGACAATTTTGCCAGGGGCTTGGAATAGTGCTTAAATTTGTTCCAAATTTCTGATCTTTTCTGTCTATAACCTCACATTGTTCATATGCACAAAAGCATTCATTTTTCAACAGTCTTTAAAACTATTTGTCTCAATGTATATATTGCTAGATGTTAAATGGCTGCAATGATGATTATTTCACTTGGCAAGATAATGTTATATATAGGCAACAGATGGGTCGAAAGAAAAGACTGACAATATATAACAAAACTTTAAACAAAAAACAGTGAGTTGTTCCTAGCAGGTAAACAATCTTGTGATGTCATATAATGGTACAAAAAATGAAACCTATTTATGAGCATCTGTTACAAATTCTGATATGGTTTTGATTGTAACTGCAAAAATCTAGAAGTGATGTCTTAATTAAATGAAGGTTGAAATCTTTTTTAAATGTTGAATAAACCAGTTTACAATGTATATTACCTGTTCTTGGCATCTTCCAGGACTTGTACTTTAGATTTCAGAAATACATACCTATTCTTGGCATCTTCAAGGACTTGTACTTTAGATTTCAGAAATACATACTTATTCTTGGCATCTTCCAGGACTTGTACTTTAGATTTCAGAAATACATACCTATTCTTGGCATCTTCCAGGACTTGTACTTTAGATTTCAGAAATACATACCTATTCTTGGCATCTTCCAGGACTTGTACTTTAGATTTCAGAAATACATACCTATTCTTGGCATCTTCCAGGACTTGTACTTTAGATTTCAGAAATACATACCTATTCTTGGCATCTTCAAGGACTTGTACTTTAGATTTCAGAAAAACATACCTATTCTTGGCATCTTCAAGGACTTGTACTTTAGATTTCAGAAATACATACCTATTCTTGGCATCTTCCAGGACTTGTACTTTAGATTTCAGAAATACATACCTATTCTTGGCATCTTCAAGGACTTGTACTTTAGATTTTAGAATTTCTTGCTGAGCATTCAATTGAGATTTATCTTGTCTTAAATGACTGTTCTGAGATTCGAGGGTGGCAACCTGGGTATTTATATCCATAAGTTTCTCACTAGCAGATCTCTCTCGTTCTGTCATCATGGCTAATTGTGTTTGAGCTTCATCTGTCAATACAAAATATATTCCATTATCACATAGAAAATTAATATGCTTGTTGAAGTAATAACAATAAATATTAAGGCAAGCAGTAAATTACTTTAAACAGAGGTTTGGTAAGTTTTTAAGGCATGAGGTAAAATAGGATATAGAATTATCAAAAACATTCTATCTGATTGGCAATTATACATAATCTTCTTATTTTCATATTAGTAGGCAGACAGAATGACTTCAATAATAAATAAACGGAGAATGTGTCCATGGGACAAAGATGATGCCCCTACTAGTGCCTGCTTATATCAATCAAGGATGAAATCAATCTTGCATTTAACGTTATAAAAGATAAAGCTGAGTTTTTTGGTAATAAGCATTGTGAATAAGTTTCATAACATTTGGTTGAGGCAAACTTAAGTAAGAGAACAGAAACGAAAACTTCAGCAATTTTTCCATTTGTAAAGGGACATAACTCTAGAACGGTAAAAGTGACACCACCAAAATTCAAATTGATCTGGATTTGGGGATAATAAGCATTGTGTATAAGTTTCATAACATTTGGTTGAAGCAAACTAAAGTTAGAGAACAGAAACTAATTTTGGGACGTATGTCTGTACGTACAGACGGACAAGGGTAACACTTAATACCCCCTCTGCTTCAGCGGGGGCATAAAACTAGAGGCTCTCAAGAACCTGTGTCGCTCACCTGTATTTACTGATGCTTTGGAAATCATGTAAAATAAGGTTAAAATCATAATTAATAGTATTAGATATTAGATATTATAATGATATCTAAGATAATAACAAAAAACTGCAAAATTTTTGTAAAATTACTAACTCAGGGGCAGCAACCCAACAACGGGTTGTCGGACTCGTCTGAAAATTTCAGGGCAGATAAATCTAAATCTAATGAACATTTTTGCCACCAGTCAGATTTGCTCTAAATGCTTTAGTTTCAGAGATATAAACCAAAAACTGCATTTTACCCCTATGTTCTATTTTTAACCAAGTCGGCCATGATGGTTGGAAGGCGGGGTCATCGGACAAATTTTTTTAACTAGATACCCTAATAATGATTATGGCCAAGTATGATTAAATTTGTCTCAGTAGTTTCAGAGAAGAAGATTTTTGTAAAAGATTACAAAAATTTACAAAAAATTGTTAAAAATTGACTATTAAGGGCAATAACTCCTAAAGGGGTCGACTGACAATTTTGGTCATTACAACTTATTTGTAGATCTTACTTTGCTGAACATTATTGCTATCTATAATAATATTCAAGATAATAACCAAAAACTGCAAAATTTCCTTAAAATTACCAATTCAGGGGCAGCAACCCAACAACAGATTGTCAGATTTGTCTGAAAATTTCAGGGCAGATAGATCTTGACCTGATAATCAGTTTTACCCTTGTCAGATTTACTCTAAATGCTTTGGTTTCAGAGATATAAGCCAAATTCTACATTTTACCCCTATGTTTTATTTTTAGCCATGGCGGCCATCTTGGTTGGTTGGCAGGGTCATCGGACACATTTTTAAAACTAGATACCCTAATGATGATTGTGGCCAAGTTTGGTTAAATTTGGCCCAGTGGTTTCAGAGGAGAAGATTTTTGTAAAAAGCTAACGACAACGGACGACGCCGATGACGACGACAAACGACGGACGACGGACGCCAAGTGATGAGAAAAGCTCACTTGGCCCTTTGGGCCAGGTGAGCTAAAAATATCCAGTTCTGTGTTCAGTTCTGATTTATGGATAAACAGTTATCTTGTAAGTTTAGAATTTAATTTTACGATATTTTTCACTACTGGGATTCTTTCCCACATTTTTTTTTGTATGAGAATCAGTACAGATTAAAACTTACATAATCTATCAGAGAGATTTTTCTCCACTTTTTCCCAGGATGCTGATTGTTGTGCAAATGTTGACTGTAGGTTTTCTATCTGTCTTAACAATGGACGGGTAGCTAAAATTAAAGGAAAAGCTAGTTCAAAAAGTAATACTGTATCGTAATATAAATACAAAAGAATTATAAGAGTATGGGATCTTGAATCATAACCACCATTATTCAGACAAACGTTTTTTTTACTGAAAGTTATATCATTGTATATCATTAACACTTCTTCATTGATGCCCTAACATTCACAAAGTAGACTTAGGAGGTAGAGCCACATATTGGTGATAAATGAATTGCATGAAAACTAACAGTACAACAAATAACAAATATTTCTTCATACACAAATCTTATCAGAAAAGTATGCATTTAAGTTTTTCATTTAAATTACAGAAGTATAATATGTACATACAGAGACCACCCGATATTAGAGAGTCCAAAAGTTAGTAAAAAGTTAATATTGGACTAACACTGAACATACCTGAAGTAACATTTTGGTTGGACGAATACTGAACTAACCTGAAGTAATGTTTTGATTGGACAAACACTGAACTTACCTGAAGTAATGTTTTGATTGGATGAACACTGAACTTACCTGCAGTAATCTTTTGATTGGATGACCACTGAACTTACCTGAAGTAATGTTTTGATTGGATGACCACTGAACTTACCTGAAGTAACATTTTGATAGGACTAACACTGAACTTACCTGAAGTAACATTTTGGTTGGACGAACACTGAACTTACCTGAAGTAATGTTTTGATTGGACAAACACTGAACTTACCTGAAGTAATGTTTTGATTGGATGAACACTGAACTTACCTGCAGTAATGTTTTGATTGGATGACCACTGAACTTACCTGAAGTACCATTTTGATTGGATGACCACTGAACTTACCTGCAGTAATCTTTTGACTGGATGACCACTGAACTTACCTGAAGTAACATTTTGATTGGATGACCACTGAACTTACCTGAAGTAACATTTTGACTTAAATCTTGATTTCTAGCTTCATCCTCTTGTAGTTGCTGTAAAACAACACATAAAAAATATAAACGATACGAACAAATCTGGCTTACTCTGTAAATCATTTATATTAACTTACAAAATCAATGAAGATGAGAAAGTATTAAGGACTCCTTGATAAAAATCTAAAGTTTAATTAATTACTTACCACCTGTAAATCAGATATTTCTTGTCGAAGCATGTCCTCTCTACGATTATGTTCTTTTTCCATACGTTGCATACTCAGTCGTAAATCTTCTATCTGAATTCAAACAGATTGAATTAGCTTTAAAAATTATTTGGCACATCAAAAATGTAACGAAATGTGATCATAATTCTTTTTAAGAAATGATTATACTGTGTATTCAGGAATTTCCAAATTCTTTGGTTTTTGTTTCTCATGAAAAGTAAAGAAATGCAACATTCAACTGTGGAAGGATAATTTAATGTATAATAACTTGAAGAAAACATGAAATTGCTGTCCAAAGTTTTCAGTTTCAGGACTACCGGTAGGTTTTTTGCTAAATTTTTTGTTTAGGCATGAAATAACTTTTTCTTTGTAGCAGCCAGTGTTGATAAATCAATGCTATAATGAGATTTGCTTTCCAGATAATTATCTTGTTCTGAAACAGCATATACATTTGTACCTGTATGATTAATGTTTCTCTTTCCTGTTTAAAGTTTACTTGTTCTCTCTCTAATGTGGCCTTCAGTTCTTCCCGTATTTGCATTCCCTGACTTAGAGCAGCAGCCTGGGCCTGGTTATCTAAGGCAGCTTTAGATTTATTCAGCTCTGCTATCTCTCTACAATAATTTATAAACATTGACGTATCTGTATAATGAGGAGGGACAAGTATAATACTAGATACATATAGTATAAAAGGACTAAGGTTTCAATGAGAGAAATGTAATAAGCTTCAAAGCCAAACTACAAGTTATCATACAGGAACTCGTCTATTTCCATATTTAAATAAATTCCAATATTTGACATGAAATTCAAAGTATATAGCTTTATATAAAAATATAAAAACTTTAATTAAAGCTTATTCTTTAATTCCTGAAAGGTACTTATACTGTAAGGCTGACTGAAGTTATCATAAAGAAGCCATTAATAATAGTTCCAGACAGCCTGATTGGCAGATTAAGTTTCAGTTCAATGCCTTCCCCATTTTTTTACCCAGAGAAGGTTAAAAAGATATGGCTATGCATCATATACTAGTAACACCTACCCTCTCCTACTAATCAATTCTTTCATGGGTCATGTACTAATAGAATTTAAATGAATTATAATATCCAAACTCACAGCAAACAAGTTTATCTTTTTGAAACCCAATTTTGCTATTTTGAGACAAATGAAGACCATAACTCTCCAACAATATTTTTTGTTGTAAAATTATAAGGTCATACTCAAGGGCAAACTTAAATCGTTCAGAAGCAGTTTCATTTATTTTTGATAGAAAAAAATTAAATTTTGGAGGAAGAGGAGGACAAAACAAAATAATTTATTGAGACTCTAAGGATCTGGTGTGATTCACATGCTTAGAAGGCACACATTTGAACTAGAGGCCCCGAGGGAATTGTATCTCTCACTTGGTTTTATAAAAAGTTATAACTGTGTACAAAATATGTAAAACTATATTCTCCAGAGGAATGCCACATCAGTGAATATAATTTATTAACTGACTATTTACTATTCAGACAATGTTTGGTTCAGATTGACAAAGTTATTTTAAAGTATGTAGTGTACTTTAGTATAATGTATGATTGTTGTTCAATTGTTTTTATTATACAAAACATTGCTAAATTTCATTTAAGGAAACAACATCCTTTTCAGCTAAAATAATGAAGATAACATACTTGTATGAGTTATCTAAAGCTGCTTGTAGTCCTCTGACCCTCTCTCCTGCATCTGACTCTATACTCTGTAAAATGTCAAACATCATATTAAGAAATGATATAACCAAAATTATCATATTATTCAAGGCATTAAAATTAAAAGTTATGCTTGAAAAAAGTATAATTCAATCTAATATAGAATCTATTCATATTAAGAAAATGCAGTACTCTCTACTAATATTTTATTTAGCATCTAACAGTAAAACACTTCACTTGAATATAAACAAAACTTGAAATCTCGTTTTTTTTCTTCAGAAAAGCAAATTAATAGCTTCTATTATACAAACATTCTTCCACATAAAATAAATACAAAGTTAGATAGCTTAAAGGAATTCGATTTACATTAATAAAATAGTGGTTGATTTGTAACAATACTCATTTACTTCTTATTCATTTACCCTTACCCTTAATTTGGTGAGTTCTCTTTCTTGTTTCTGTACAGCAGTATTCAGTTGGTTAATAGCCTCTGCAATAAAATTCATAGATTTAAAAATAAGGAGATGTGGTATGATTGCCAATGAGACAACTATTCACCAAAGTTCAAAATGAAGTGGATGTAAGCAATTATAGGCAACCGTACGGCCCTCAACAATGAGAAAAACACATACAATATAGTCGGCTATAAAAGGCCCTGACATGTAAAATATGAAACAATTCAATTGAGAAAACTAACAGCCTAATTTATAACAAAACAAATTACGCAAAACAAATATGACCAACATTAACCAACAACAACCACTGAACTACAGGCACATATAGAATGTGGCGGGGTTAAACATGTTTTGAGTTTTGAACTGAAATCTTTTTGGTAAAAACATCAATGTTCAATGTATATTACAGAAATAAATGTTATTTGAAACTTTAACACTCTTCCATTTTTTGTAATTAAAAAAATCTATTACTAACTATTCAACTTAACAGATACTGGAAGCAAGTCTACCAAAACACAAGGTTATTTTGGAAAACGCATGCACTTGAAGGGAACTTTATTTGAATTAAAGTGATAAATGATTCATCAATTGATTCTATCTTCAAAGAAAACTGAATTTCAAAGATCAAAATTGGAAATGAAACACTATTTTGTTTATTAAAATGTAACAAGAAAAAAACAGAAGATTTTTTGTTTGTTTGAGAGTTATTACATTTTAAATTTCAATTCAATTGTTAATAAATATTTTACTCAAATTACATTCTTTTAAAACTCCAATATTTAACAGATGAATCACCTGTTTGTTTCTTTTCCATTTCTTCTTTACTATCCAGACATGTTTTTAAATGCTCAATTTCTGTAGTCTGGTCATCTATCTTCTTTCTGTAAAAAAAACAAAGTTACAAGAAAATTAATATAATTGTCTTCAAATCAGTTCAAATGATATGTTTATATATCATTTCAACAAGGTTTCGATTGGGTTTAACATACCAGCCTGTCTAAAATGTAAAGGTTTCATTTTTCAGAAATTGACACATATTCATATAAATATCTCATTATAAATCAACCAATCCTTCCCCATACCCCAATAAAAAAGTCTTCTGTTCATCTATAGACTAAATTCCATAATAAAACTTTAACTTCATATCCAAAGAACAACAGAAAAAGTGCAAGACCGAAATCTCAATCTAAATAAATACATAAATTGTTACCTGTATCCAGTAACTAGTGAATCTGTTTCTTTTTCTTTTGCTCTCAGTTTCTTTATGATTGTATTACCCTGTAATTGTTGTTTAGACAATTTCTCCCCTGTAATGTAAATAAAGACAAATAAAGCATGCAACAGAACAATTCCATGCTATCACAAAAACTTGAAATTCACTGAGAACTCCACCAACTCTGATGAAAACCCTGCTATCAAAAATTCCTATATCATTAAAAATAAAATAAATCATTTTCAGATACTGACTTGAGGCTTAATAACATTTTCTTATATGAACGATAATATCCATGAAAACTATGATTTTGTGATGACATTTGGAACGGAATGCATCTTCTGTTTAAGGATTTCCTTTTCTTGATCCCCTGGAATTAATTAACTATTTGTTGTGTGCGTATTTTGTTTTCATTTGTAGGTAAAGTGAAGAACTATTAAGTGTGAAAGTGGACAAATATTAGACCAACGAAAGTTCAATTAAAGAGAATAAATATATGTTACCTTCTTGCATTAATTCTGTAACAATTTGTTCTTTCTCCTTGAAAAAGTTTTCTTGTTTTATCAATCTGAAATTAAATAATGTCATAAGTGAATCTTACAAATAATTTTATCATAAGTAAATTTAATGTAATAAAAGAGAATTTATGACATGCATGTTTTGTGTTAATGTGTTGCTGTTCCAATGACACTTACCCATCATCTCCATTTTATATAATTTTGATTCAAAACACTCTTGTTTCAATTATTTGTCACTTTTAACAACATATATTTGTTAATTTCATGAATTAAAAACATTAATTGACTACATATTATTATAGAGAATCCTTTCTGCTATCAAAATCAAGGTATTTATGCCATTTCAGTTAGATAAGTTTAAATCTCAAAATAACATGACTTGATAGGAAACTCCTGAAGAATAAGGTCTGACAGAAGATAAATAATAGGGTTCATATACATTGTATGACCAACTAATTATACAACGAAACAATTACTTTTTCTGAAAATCTGCCTGCATCTCTTCAAACTGCTTCTTTATTGCTTCTTTTTCCTGTTGAGAGATAAATAATAGAAATAATGATTTCTGTTAAAATATGCAGCACTGCCATAAAATTATTAGAGGTCTATTAGTAACTGTAACGAGTAATAAATTGAGTACTAAATAGTGTTTTCTTATTTGGAAAGGACATGAAAATTCATCATATCTAGAGGCTCTAAAGAGCCTGTGTCGCCCATCTAGGTCTATGTGCATCTTTAACAATGGACACTTTCCAACATTGTGGACTAGAATAGAATTCATGACAAAAATCTTTTTTTTTATGATCTTGTATTGCTTATCATTTTTTTTTTTCAGTTTCTCCCAATCTTCTCCTATTTAAAGTTTTTTCTATCTATTATAGTGTTCAAATAAATGGGCAAACATGAAAAATAAAAACAGGTAAAATTCATCATTTAAGGGCAAAAACTCCTGTAATAAGTTATCTGACAGTTTTACTGAAAATGGACAGTAAGTTGATCTCTACATTTTGAACATTTTTGTCCTTGTCAGATTTTCTCTATTTCAAGTGGTTTTCAAGGTAATAGACAAAACTTGCATTTTATCCCTATGTTTTATTTTTAGCAATGTCGGCCATGTTGGTTGATAGGTTTGGTCATCAGACACATTCTTAAAACTAAATACGCTAATGACGATTGTGGCCAAGTCCGGTTAAATTTGGCCCAGTAGTTTCAGAGGAGAAGATTTTTGTAAAAGTTAAAGACAACGACGGAAGCCGAACGCCAAGTGATGAGAAAAGCTCACTTGGACAAGGTGAGCTTTAAAGTGCATACATCAACTATTTGAATGAAAACTAAATTCCCCAACATGCAAGTAAATTACTTCATCTTGTAGTAAATGTAACAATACTAACCCTAATGGCCTGTTGACAAAGCCTCTCCGATTCAGACAATCTTTTAGTGAACTCGTGCGTCACTTGTTCTACATCCTCCATTTCAACTGTTCGTGTTTCTTCAACCTGATGTAACTGACTGTAACAATAACAAAAACTTTCCTTTAATTTAACATGGTATTGTTTTAGTTTTTGATCTGGGTGAATTCCGCGATGAAATATAAATGTTTTTACCACAATGTTCCCATCCAATCAGATGTAACAATACCACGCTCCTCCTTATGGAGACATTTATAAAGCACCAGTAAAATGAAATGGACTGCAGAATATTGTTATTGTATATTCAAAATGATAATAACTCTATTCTAGAAGATTGGCCTTTAGAAAATTCATGTTTCATTATCAACATATTGTATGAATAAAAGAGGGGTTTAAGTGTTGAGGAGACAACACACATGCACCAGATTGCTAAAACCAAATAGGTTAAAGCAACAAAAATAAGATTTACAAAAAACAAGAATGTCTGATATATTTTAATTGAATGCATGTTTGAAATAACAAATAAACCTGTTCTGTTGTTTTCCATTGCAAAGGAAAATATTTTAATGCATTCACTTAGTTTCAATGACAATGGATCAGTTTATTTCTAACAAAATCTAGTGCTAAGCCCTAGAATCATGAAGAAGGAGACTAACCATACCCTGATTTTTAATATGTCCGATTGTAACAACAACAGGGCATATGTTAACTTTTTTAACTTACTTGCGTAATATATTATTTGTTTCCACCAAGTCCATATTTTCTTTACTGAGGACAATAAGTTTGTCTTCTCTAGCCTGCAACACTTCAGCCATCTCTGCTAGTTTCTGTGAATGAGCAAAATTTGTATATACGCTTTGAGATTACTACAAATATAATAATAACTAAACATGTATACATTTCACTTCAATTCATGCTGTTCAAAGGCATTAAAATGGCTAATACATAATATAAAGCATTAGTTCTTTACTATTTTGATAAATTATTCTAACAATAACAGTTTTTTCAACAGCAAACAAAACAGAAATCCTCTGTAAACAGTAAATAAAAAATCAATAAATATCATATAGATACATACCATTTCATGTCACATGCTTTGTATACAGATATGTACAATACAATATTTTAACCACCTCAATATACATTTAGTTCCCCAATTGAAGGTCTATTGCTTTGATCAATTCTTACCAAATTAGGGGGTCCTAAAATATTGTATAAACCACCTAGCAAACTACAACATAAAATGTACTTCATGTACCATCATCATGTCAGCTATGAACATGGGCAATATAAAAATGATTATCAGGTTTTTGCATATAAGCATCATAATATGAAGGTTTTCTGCAAGTTAATGAAGAGAATAGGGTGAAAAGTTTGTGGCTGATATTTTACAATTTATGTAGATACCAATAACATGATTAAAAAAAATTGATGTCATTTAAAATTCTGGTTCTAACTTAAATAAAATGCTCCGCTGGGGTGCAGCTTGATACGACCGCAGAGGTTGAACCCTGAACAGTTGGGGCAAGTATGGACACAACATTCAAGCTTGATACAGCACTGAATTTGGATTGTAATTAAATATTTGACGCAGCATAGGTTTCTGACACAGAATGAATGTGGTCTAAGAACTTAAAAATGTTTAATTTACCTATTCAAACCATATATCATTATTATTTGCTTTTATATATAAATCAGAAATAACCAATTTAAAATGGAAAATTTTAAAGAAAAAAAGGAAAAAAAAATCCCCCCCCCCCAATTTTTTGAACCCCCTTATTATTCATCACCCCCAAACTCAATCCCAGCCTTCCCTTTGTGGTATGGTACCTTGCAGTACAATTTCAGAGAGATCCATACACTTGAACACAAGTTATTGTCTGGAAACTAGAAAAATGCTTGTTTTTTTGGCCCCTTTTTGGCCCCAAATTCCTAAACGTCTAGGGCAATTACCCCCAAACTCAAACCCAGCTTTCCCTTTGTGATATGGAACCTTGCAGTACAATTTCATAAAGATCCATACACTTACACACAAGTTATTGTCTTGAAACTAGAAAAATGCTTGTTTTTTTGCCCCTTTATGGCCCTTAATTCCTAAAATTTTGAGGGAATTACCCCCAAAATCAATCCCAGCCTTCCCTTTGTAATATGGTACCTTGCAGTACAATTTCAGAGAGATCCATACACTTGAACACAAGTTATTGTCTGGAAACTAGAAAATGCTTATTTTTGGCCCCTTTTTGGCCCCTTATTCCTAAACCTTTTGGGCAAATACCCCCAAACTCAATTCCAGCTTTCCCTTTGTGATATGGAACCTTGTAGTACAATTTCATAAAGATCCATACATTTACACACAAGTTATTGTCATGAAACTAGAAAAATGCTTATTTTTTGCCCCTTTTTGGCCCCTAATTCGTAAAATTTGGAGGCAATTACCCCCAAAATCAATCCCAGCATTCCCTTTGTGATATGGAACCTTGTGGTACAATGTCAGAGAGATCCATACACTAACACACAAGTTATGTCTGGAAGTTACAAAAATGCTTATTTTTGGCCCCGTTTAACATCTGGGACCGGGATTATATTTGTTTGTGAACATCCTCCAGCAGTGTCCTATTACAAATGACTTTGAATAAAATAAATGGGGAATGAGTCCATGGGACACAGATGATGCCCCCCCCCCCCCTCCCCCCCCCTTTTGCATATAACGTTAAAAAGGGACATAACCCAAGAATTGTAAAAGTGACACTACCCAAATTTGTACTTGATCTGAGTTTTGTGGTAATAACCATTGTGTATAAGTTTTATTACATTTGGTTGAGGCAAACTATAGTTAGAGAACGAAAACGAAAAATTCAGCAATTTTTCCATTTGTAAAGGGGCATAACTCTAAAACAGTAAAAGTGATGCCACCAAAATTCAAACTTGATCTGTGTTTTGTGGTAATAAGCATTGTGTATAAGTTTCATAACATTTGGTTGAGGCAAACTAAAGTTAGATAACGGAAACGAAAAATTCAGCAATTTTCCATTTGTAAAGGGGCATAACTCTAGAATGGTAAAAGTGACGCTACCAAAATTCAAACTTGATCTGTGTTTTGTGGTAATCAGCATTGTGTATAAGTTTCATAACATTTGGTTTAGGCAAACTTAAGTTAGAGAACGGAAACCAATATTGGGACGTACGGACGTACGGACAAGGGTAAAACCTGATGTCCCCTCCGCTACGGCGGGGGCATAAAAAATGACTAAACTTCTACTCAAATTAAACTTTACTAGCTACTGAATCCATGATGATGATGGATATGAAGCAAAATTATGTCATGCTATTCACAATAAACCCAGTACATTGTAGTGATGAAATTACAATTGACATAAAATAATGACAATAAGGTTTCATTATACATGTTATAACACTCAGGCAAGATGAGTCAAAAGTCTGGTGTTAAAGTAGCCAATTGTTATACATACTTTATTCTACTGTTGTCAAATTGAACATTTTTAACTAACTGGTTACTGATATAATTTTTCGACTGATAAATTGGTTAACAAGTTTTAAAGTTAATGTTCAAAGAAATGTTTACAAATGCATGGCTAGATAATACACTTTCTTAAAGTTTATTGTGACATCCTTGCCTAGATCTTTTTGTACTGCTCATGTCTTCATGTTACTGGTATAATCAGTATATGCTTAATTTGCATTTCAATATTTTCTAATAAACTTTTTGTTTGAAATATGACCAAGCTTTGGATTTGGATGATTGACATTTTTGCATTACGTCCAAACTTATTATGCAAGTAAAATCGTAAACTTTGACTAGCTTACAATTGTTCAATGTATATTTATTTAACAAACCTGTACCCTGTAAATTATGTTTACATTAGATTTTGCTACATACTAAAAGACAAAACGTCTTTGTGCTAATCAATTATGTAAAATATCATTGTTAATCCAGTAATAAATAATAATAGTGCACAATTGATTTCATTAAGTATCACAATAATCATTATTATTTATGATTTAAGTACAGTTGATCGGAAAACCGTTGACAACACTAATATATTTATAACTCACTAGAATGAGTAAGTTTTTAAAATGAAACCTTATACTTCTCAAATAAAGATTACAATGTATGAAAAGGACAACAAATAATAAGTTTTGAAAATGTGTTTAAGGTAGATGAGGTGTCTAAATTATAATCCATAGAATTTTTTAATAATTTGCCAAAATGTAGTTTATATCATGCTTTTTTAAAAAAAATAATAAAAAGAATGGGTCACAGGGCTTATTTTCACGCTACAGGTTGTGCAAAATTGACAGACTTTGTATAGATTATGCATGCCAATTTTCTGCCATAAAACAAAAACTACACCATAGAATTTTAAGATAAAATATGATAAGATAGCTCTAATATTATGCTTTCAGATAAGAAAAAGAAAAAATGGGGTCACGGGACCCGTTTTATTGCTACATAATAAAATAGGTAAATTCCTAACACATTCTATTGTAAAGGTAACTTTATCTGAATTATCTGCCCTTATATTTGAGTTGCCTCCCCTTATGTGGCAAAGTTGGAAAAAAATGAATCAAACAAAAGTATTCTGTATTTTGTAAAATACAACCATAAATATGATAAAACATGTCATTTTCTATATTGAAATGAAAATTCTTACACATGAACTACCTACTACTCTCAAAATTTGCACATTTTCTTAAAGATCTAGACCGATTGTTTTCTGGTATTTCAAAATCCAAGATGGAGGAAGACACCCTATCTACCTTAAACAGGAAAGAGATGAGTCAAGACTACACAAAAGTCCACAGCCCTTTTTTCCACAGAAAAGTTAATCAGAAAGAAAGGCAGACTTGATCAATATACGAGTGCAAATTAAAATTAATCTGGATAGTGAAAAAAGTTCACACGTGTACAATTTTCTGAGAAATAAACAAACCCTAGGGCCATCATCCTGTCAAAATCAAATCAGAAAAATAGCCTTAAAAAAATTGGACAATTGATTTTATTACAAAACAAAAATGTGTCCATAGTACATGGATGCCCCACTCGCACTATTATTTTCTCTGTTCAGTGGACCGTGAAGTTGGGGTCAAAACTCTGATTTGGCATTAAAATTAGGAAGATTATATCATAGGAAACTTGTGTACTAAGTTTCAAGTTGATTGGACTTCGACTTCATCTTAACCAAAAACTTTAACCTGAAGCGGGACAGACGGACGGATGAACGAACAGACACATAGACAGAAAAACATAAAAATGCCCCTCTACTATCGTAGGTGGGGCATAAAAAGACAAAATGACAAACATGAGCAAAACTATAGTGGCAATTGTTTAAAAAAATTAATTGACATATATATAAAAATGTGTGTAAGAAAACAGCACAACACTGTCTACAATATAATAACAACATTATAGATTGTGATAAAAACAATGAATCCATTTTATAGAAGCCACAGGACTTATTTTAAATTCTTAATTAAGAACTGTTATTTCATAGATGATTTTAATTATCAGTCATTGCAATTGTAAATCAGTCTTAAAGCTGGCTTGAGATAGCACAAACATCTGATTATAAGACTGGAAACAGAGGGTTCCTAAAAGCTATTTTATTTTTGATTTTGACAGCACAAATTGTTAACTTTAAGCAATCCAGAAAAGCGCTTCAGGGTTTCAGAGGCATGAAGTGTATAAAGTGTTTATTTCGTTTTCAATCATCTGTTAAAGACGAAAATGTTTAATGTGTTAACTTTTATACCATTGTTACAATATATATATATATATATAGTGAAATAATGAATTATTTATGGCAACATGCAATACAGGAAAAATATCAAATTTTTATTTAAGTTCTATTTTAGATTTTCATCTTTTAGTGAACTTTGGGTATTTCTGGCTATTGTGTTGATATCCTATTCCCTAAAAAAGGAGGTTTCATAAAGTAAGAGAAGTCATTATAATACAACAAAAATGAAATAACCTTATAAAAGTGAGAGATAAAATGTGCATCTTATTTAAAAAAAAATCACACTTGATCTGTGTTTTGTGGTAATTAACATTGTGTATAAGTTTTAGAACATTTGGTTGAAGCAAACTAAAGTTAGAGAACGGTAACCAATTTTGGGACGTACGTACTTACGTTCAGACGGACAAGGGTAAAACTTAATGCCCCCTCCGCTACGGTGAGGGCATAAAAACCAACTAGATGATATGACAAGAGGCTCATGAGAGCATGATATCGCTCACCTGTAATTTCAGTTTCAGGCATTTGACATTGCTGAAAAATTTGTCATTTACACTTTCTCTCTTTCTATAATAATATTAAAGATAACACATAACCCAAAACAGCAAAATTTCCTAAAAATTAACTATTTCTGGACAGTAACCCAACAATAAGTTGTCCTATTGGTCTGAAGATTACTTGACAGGTAGATCTAAACCGGTTTAACACTTTCACCATATGTCAGTTTTGCTCTTACTGCTTTAGTTTTTGAGATGAAAGCCAAAAACTTCATTTGACCTCTATGTTCTATTTTTAGAAACTGCCACCATGTTTTTGAATGGATCAAAGCCCCAAATACAATCTATAAACTAGATACCCTAAGGAACATTCAATTAAAGTTTTTAAGTATTTGGCCAAGTAGTTTCAGAGAAGAAGATTTTTGAAAAAGTAATCAGACTTTCACAAAAAATGTAAGAAAAAAAAACGTTTTTTTAAATGCAATAACTCCTTAAGGGGTCAGTTGACTATTTTGATCATGTTGACTTATTTGTAGATCTTACTTAGTTGAACATTTATTGCCATTTATACTTTCTCTCTATCTATTATAATATTCAAAAAAATGGTAAAGTTTAACAAAAATAAACTATTTCCATCAGTAACCCAACAATGGGTTGTCGAACTTGTCTGAAAATTTCATAATAGATAGATCATGACCCATTTATTACTTTAACTCCCTTTCACTTTTGCTCTAACTGCTGTAGTTTTCGAGATATAAGCCAAAAACTGCTTTGACCCCTATGTTCTATTTTTGGCCATGGTGGCCATGTTTATTGATGGATCAAAACTTCGGATACAATTTATATACTAGATACCTTAAGGAACATTCATTTAAAGTTTTAAGGTATTTGGCCAAGTAGTTTCAGGAGAAGATTCTTGAAATAGTTTATGACGACAGACGACGATGATGACAGACGACGGACGGCGAGGGATGCCAAGTGATGGCATAAGCTCACATAGGGCCCTTTGGCCCTGGTGAGCTAATAATTAAGCCTGCTTTTGTACTAGATACACAAGCCGAACATGATTGTAATAAAATGACATTAGACCACAGGAAAAAAAAAGTCAGCATACCTTGATATACTAAGATATACTTGAAGTATCTAAAGCATAAACTTGACTGGAGTATAAGAGAAGGTAAGTGTGTAATGCCAGGGAAACAATCTTAATGTCATCACAGTGATCACTGAGGCATCACATTATAAATGTTAACATATCATTAAATATGAGGGATAATAATGCTGATGTTCTTCTAGTTCTTTAGTCAATTATTTAAAGAAGTTTGCTTTAACTGATCATATATCTAACTGAACATGAAAAAACAGTCAGTGATGCAACTAAAGGTTATTTTGTTTACTATGCACGATGAACCCTTTTATCAAACTTAGAAACGATCTGTGGTACATTATGGTTAGTTTTGTTTTGAAATTTTGTAACATTCTATGCATTTAGGCTTCTAAAACCTTGGTTCTAAAGGATGAATAATCCAGTCCATTCCTGAAACATGACCATTACATGTTTGTATTATTTCCACTGGGCTGGTACATTTGCTGGTCAATTGTCAGTCAAGGCACATGGGGGCATCATTTTCCCAGTGGCAATAACGTCTGCACTGGCATAATTTAAATGATATATTTTGACTGTTCATTTCCAGTTTTTAAAATATGCAATTGAAAAAAAAAGTGGTTTCATATTCCTTTTAAACTAGATTTTTTATTGGTTTATGCTGTTCAGTTAAAATCTTTTTCTTTTGATGACTCTAAATGTTTCAAGTATTTCAGTGTTGATGTGTTGCAAGAAATGATCCCATTGGAGTGAGCAAGATTTCTCCAAACATTTATAAAGGCTATTGCATTAACGGCCAATTCAATACGTAAATTACTGTGGATTCATTATCATTCATTGGATACCATTTTTTCATAGATTTCATTAGTACAGGGGAACCAAAAATTTAAATGTTCAACAAATTACAAATTAGGAATGTATGCAGACAGTGGCAAGTTTTTTAATATCAAATACATTTTGTTTAAAAACAAAACCTAAGGTAAAACTTCATAGAAAAGTTGGATAACAATATCCAAACTATGCAAATTCATATCTTAAATATGAAATATAATTCATTGCAAAAATGTAATAAAGATGTGCATTTAAGTTGGCAAAGATGGTGAAATTGACAAAAACACAGTAATCTTATGGACTCTCCAGTCTATGGATAAAACAAATGAACCAATAAAACAAAAATACCCTTCAACTGTAGCTACCAACTTCTATGTTCAAAGCTATATCATGAATATAAAAAAAAATAACATAACTAATCTAAATATTGAAAGATAAACATAACAGAGATGTTTGGTGTGAAAGTCGAGTAACTTCTATAATAAAGCAGATTTATAGCAAATTCAATATAAATGATGAAATAAGTTAGTAAAAGCAGTGTCTTGAACCAGGGAGTAGGTTACAGAAGTTGGAACCCCTCCTTTATTTTGTTAATGTTCTGAAGTTCTAACATTCAAAATAAGTACAGAAATACAGAACCTCTCTTTTCTTAAAAAAAAAAACAGACAAAAATCCTCAGCTCTGAACATAGAATTCCTATAAATGTAAAGTGGATAGTTATGTAAAATACTATTCACACAAAGTTTATTATAAATAGATCTTAAAAAATAAAATACATTTAATGCCAATAAAAATGTAAAGACTTTAGCAAATGGTGCCATTCAAGAGAACAAAATGCAACAATCCTTTTTCAGAGGAAAAAAATTCAAAAACTAGGATTCCTTAAGTTTTTAAAATACTGCACATTAATTTTTCCTAAAATATTGTATTAATAAAAACAAAGATCTTAGAGCCCAAAATTCATAGCTCTCCTGAAATGATAATTGCTTAGTGACCTGAAAAATATAAAAATGTAAGTACAAAATAAACTGTCCACTTTACATTAAGCAGAGTAAGCAAAAAGCAAGTGTAGCATAACCCCTGTCTCCCAAACCTGGTTAACGTTGTCGTGATTGGCAGTATCCAGTTCGGGTATACTAGTTAACTGAAATAATCACTTAGTTATTTGTTATGCTACAGAACGAGACCAGAATTTATAATCACACTTTTATCCCAATCTTTCATAATAAAAAGATCTTCATTCTAAAGTGAGACATACATTTTCTAATTCAAAATTAAAGAAAAACTTCATTTCTGAATGGAAAATATTTAATATTTCATGGAATCATTAACTGAAATATTAAAGGATTTTTTTCATTTACACTTATACAAAATATTAATGTTGATCTTTAAGTTTTAATTTTCTAGCATTAGTCTAAGATTTGATGGGTTCAAATATTCATATACTGGCTGAAGTAATTTGTCAACAGTAAATTACTTTTGAAACTATCAAATCTAGAACTGATGCTTATGAATACCACAATACAGTTTTCTACTATTAATTTACAGAGAAGATAAAAACCTGAAAATTAAAACTGGTCTTAAAAGCAGCTCTATAACAGATTGTTTTCTTTCTATTCAATGTGCTGATGAATCATCTTCATTTAAATCTATTCACTTAACATGTTTAATATAAAACATCTCAAAACTAGTCTACAATTAAGTTCTCTTTCTTTTACTCACATGCTATTTAGTTTATAAATTTTTTTACTGCTATTTACTAGCAAACAACATTCATTGGAAATAATAGTGTTTAAAAAAAGCTTTTAACATGTTTTAACAGCTGTAAATTTTAAAATTATGGTAAAGGCATATCTCTTGTAATGAGCATGAAATAACTATTATTATAGATGAGTTTGATGTCTAATTATCTTTTAAGATTTAAGTTTGACTGTAGATTTAGGCATAAAATGATTTCCTTCACTGTTGGTAATTATACAGAATGTAAACAAAGATCTTAGTATGAAGTAACCCATGTGGGCCTAATTGAAGAATCTACCACAATAACAACTACATTTTTGTACATATCTGATTTACCCTAACCATGGATGGAAACAATAGAAATATATAGGTAAATTATAATTTTATCAAATTAAAACACAGCATGTTGCAAACCAATTACCAGTTAAAGATATGCAAACTTTGGGTACCACAAATATCAGCAAAGTCGACTTAAGTATATATTAATACTACATGTATGTTCATGCATGGAAGGATTTTTTTTCAAGTAAATAAGCAATTTATTTAGTGTCATCTTTAACATGTTACAGAACCTTTGAACTTTTGACCGTACCTTCAATAACTTTTGTGTATTATAAGGATCTGCTACTTCTTCATCAAGGGGAGGTAACTCTCTGCACAAGGGAGCTTCTGTAATTTAAGAAAAAAAATTGGGTGGCATTGTTAAATTATTATTATTAAATATATTATCTTGCAATACACTAAAAATATGACTTTTAGAAAAAAAATTAAGAAAAACAATTTTCACACATATCATTAAATAAACTGTACTACTGTAGTATTTCATGATAACTTTTTGACCAAAATTATTGAGTAACTGAAAGCAAGTGCTAGTAAAATGGTTGACAAAAATAACTTAAGTTGATAATAACTTTGGTTAATTACTGATTTAAGTTTTGCTGAGCTACAAATGTTTTAAAACTTTGAAACACTAGGGGATTTTCGAGAACAAAATAATGAAATAAAAAAAACTCTGTTTATTTACATATTTGAAATAAGTACCATGTTTCTGATATCGGATCTAAGAACTTATTAGTAAATTTGTAACTAAAGTGTATAAATGAAAATAATCAGTGGTTGTCTTTATATCATATCTCAATGGGGTTTTTTTTGTGTTGTTGAAAATTTTGTGTTGATTGCAAATCATTGATTGTTTTGTTTATTTATATATATTCATAAATCTTATAGACTTGGATGATTTAGAGTTTGACATCTTGCATACGACACCAGTGACCTGTCTATATATTGATACAGACTGTGCCCTCTAGATGTTTTTTTTTACAATTTGTGTAGTTGGGTTGCTGTCTTATTAACATATACTCTACATCTTCTTTAATTCATATTTTGAAAATGGATATCATATTAAACCTTCTTTTCAAGAAAATTAACCTATCCTTATCACAATTTTTTTTAAACATGCACATGAGTCACATGACTAATACAGAACAATTTTTGCCTATCCTTAAAGTATGTTTTCTTACTAGCTTCTTCACTTGTTATTTTCATTTCAACACCATCTTCACTGGAGTCGGTATCCCTGCCAGGACTCATCTGTTCTCCTCGACTGTGTGAGCTGCTGCTTGATTGACTATCATGACTGTCATTCCTTCTATGAGAACCATCATTCCTTCTAGCTGTTTTTTGAAGAGCTATTTTCAAGGGAGACAAATCAATGAATTTGTTGTTTTCACCATTTGAAGTTGGTGTAGAGATGATTTCTATATCAGAAGAAGTAGTAGTATCTACTTCATCACCTGATTCATGGCCTCCAGTACTACGTGAACATTCAGATTTGCCCACTGAATGACCATCACTAGAATTGTCCTCCATTTTCATGTTATCGTCCATAGCCTCCTCTATCATACATTTAACGTAAGACGAGCTGGGTGACACACTGCCAATGCTGTCATTGTCTGCTTTAGCACTATAACCGACAACAGTATCATCTGTATCCACACTACTGTCTAACTTACTACCCTCTCCACTAGAACTTGTCGCTAATGGACTTGATGGTTGGTCGTCGTGGGATTCCAGTGAACTATTCCTAACATGATGTCCAACAGGAGATAGAGCAGAAGCATTAGATGTATCCTCAGTTATGCCTTCAATTGTTTCTGTTGTTACATTGTCACTGACAGGGACTTCATTTTCTGTTTCCGATAAAACACTATCTTCTGTAGTGATATAATTTGTCGATGATTGCGGAAAATCTATTGATAAATTTTCCTCGGGATCTACAGAATTATCTGATGTACCTAAATTCTGGTCAATGATACCTTCATCCTCTGACTTGATATCTTTAGATTCAGTGTTATAAGGGGTACTAATATCTGATGAGTCTGATCGTTCAGTATTTGATACTATTATTTCAGAAGACTTCACAATATCTGGTTGTGTGAAATGTGATTCTATAAAGTTAGAAGACTCACAAACAGAATCAAACTGTTGAGTTTGGGGACAGTCACTAGGAGTCATTTCTGTTAAAATGACAGCTTTATCTTGAACTGAAGAATCTTCTCCTATAACCACACTACTTGTTGACAACATTTCAATTACATCTGTTTCTTCTGAATCTTCTGATTTTTCATTTGATGGCGATGAATCTGACTTTGTCATTAGATCTGATATTTTAGAAGCCACATTTACAGAAGAGTCAGTGATTTCATTATTACTACTAGCGGAATGTAAAGAAATGACATCCTCGTTAGATTTTTCAGGGTTTTGTATTTTTTCGTAACTTTGAGAATCAGTAGACATTGTCTCCCCTGATCCTACTGACAAGGGAGATAACCTATCAGCATTACCTTTTATAGAACCAGTTAATATATTACCACTAGAACTTGACTCAGTGTCTGTTATAGACTTCATATCTACAGAAGTATCATGTGTTTCCACATAACTGTCAGCTGATTGGTCTGTTTCACTTTCTGTATGGATTGCCATTTTTGATTGGTTTCTATTGTCACTTATTTCAACACTTAAACTTTTAGGCTTAGTTATTTCTTCTTTCACAGATAAATTCTCAATTTGCTTTTCAAGATTTTGACTTTGAGTTTCTCCAGAGTGAGTAAGTTCTTTTACTTTTACAGAATCTGAAGATGTCAACTGAGTGGATTTTAAAGATGATTCATTCTTTGATGCTTCATCCTGTTTTAATCGAGATGTTTTAGACCTTTCACTTTTTAATTTCTCTTGCTTTACATTTGAAGTTTTTTCTGTAGATGATTTGTCTTGCAGTGTATCCCAGGACATAGACCAGGAATTCCAGGAATCAGTAGACCATGACGTTGATGCTTCTTCCGTTGGTTTACTCTGTTGTGATGTTTGACCTGATGCATCTGGAAATACATGTACAATAAGTTATTACTTGAGAAATATCAAATCTATAGTTGTAAAAAACCTGTATTCACTCTTTCCTGCATCAAGGCATACACAAACTATTATGTAATCTCTGTGTAAGATAGTAGATTGCCCTTTAGATTTATTTTCTTCATCTTAATGTATATATCTATACAGAATACATCATAATGTATATATCTATACAGAATACATCTTAATGTATATATCTATACAGAATACATCATAATGTATATATCTATACAGAATACATCTTAATGTATATATCTATACAGAATACATCTTAATGTATATATCTATACAGAATACATCATAATGTATATATCTATACAGAATACATCATAATGTATATATCTATACAGAATACATCATAATGTATATATCTATACAGAATACATCTTAATGTATATATCTATACAGAATACATCTTAATGTATATATCTATACAGAATACATCTTAATGTATATATCTATACAGAATACATCTTAATGTATATATCTATACAGAATACATCATAATGTATATATCTATACAGAATACATCATAATGTATATATCTATACAGAATACATCTTAATGTATATATCTATACAGAATACATCATAATGGAGCTTATCACATATTTGTTACGAATACGTTGGGTTTTGCATATGTAATAACCTCAAAATTGCCCGGGGCAAAAAAGAGGTTATTGGTTATTGTGCCCTGATTCCAAATGACGTGACGTCATTACGTCCTTAACGACAATGGCGAACAATGACGGTGCTCGTTTCATCGCAGTGGAGGAAAGCGATACGGCAGACTTTGTAGAGCAAATGTGCCCTAATTCAAATTCCGAAAAAAGTGGAAATGTGACAATAAATTTCTATGGAGTAAATGATAAAAACTAAATTTGAAAATGTGACAAAACTTTTGTGATAAAATTTTTAAGATTTTACCTGTTATATTTCATTAAATTGTTATAATTGAAATTTTTTCTCTTTTCTGCAGAACTTAAATATGTGATAAATAGATTATAACATGTCTTTCCATATTGGCCCTGGTATCATCCCTCGACCCATATCGGCCCTCGGCTAAAGCCTCGAGGCCGATATGGGAGTCTCGGGATGATACCAGGGCCAATATGGAAAAGGGCATGTTATAATCTATACTTCTTACATGTAAGCCTGGATCTAGAATAATACTCAGAGAAAGATGAACAATCATGATAAGCCATAAAAACATTTTCTTCAGAGTTCATAAACATTATGACACACAATGACACCAAGTATCAAAAATATAAGACAAAAAAGTTGCAGAAAAGTAGTTATAATAGACTTTAAAAGTTCATAATTAAACACTCATAAAATGATAAAATTTGACAATATGTTCAACATTTCTTGTTTAACTACGACTAAGAACTTCACCATTTTTAAGGCATGAAAGTTTTTGGCAATTTATCTGAGAGAAGAAGGGTTCACCAGGTGTTATTTTGCTACAATACAAATTCACTGTAACATACATGTATACAAGAACTTCAGGTGTCAATATCTAAATATCGATGGGTATAAAATATAAAACTTATAAAATATAAAGATATATCTTACATGTAGTACACTGAACCATCAAATAATAATTTCTATTCTACATATTCATTACTTACAAAAAGACAATAACACACTTTGTGATTGTTCCTCAATAAGAAAACATTGTTGGAACAGTTAGATTTACTGGAAGCAGCCTTTAACATTAACAGAAATATATATCATACAAGTACAATATTTTATCTGATACATGTATTCCCAAGTCCTGCAATAACTGCAGATCAAAAGGATGAATGATTAGAACTGTCAAATAACTCACCAAACACTCCAAATTAATACTCTTTAATTTCATAAAAATGCAATACTCTGCAATGTCCAGATTCAAATTAATCAAACTAACAGTCATAAATAAATCTATAACAAACTTTGCTTGACAACTAACTTGTACTAGTATGTAATAACAACAGGACATCCCACTGGATTAGGTAAATCTCCTTTAAAGTTCATTATTTACGTCAATATCTGATATGTCAATAACACATTAAAAAATGGATGTAATCATTTCTTATATCATTACTATTAATCTCATCGTCATTTACATCAGTTCTGATGAAAATAGGGAATAAGATTAAACAAGAGTGCACACGCTGAAATGTCTCGCCTTCTTTACTAATCATTGATATTATGTTGATAGTCCTAAATATAAAGCTTTATTACAACTGTCACATAAACTTAACATTAACCAAGTAAACTAAACATTGACCAATGAACCATGAAAATGAGGTCAAGGTCAGATGAACCATGCTAGGCAGGCAAGTACAGCTAACAATTCTTCCATACAACAAATATAGTTGACCTATTGCTTATAGTTTAAGAAAAACAGACGAAAACACAAAAACTTAACACTGAGCAATGAACCTTGAAAATGAGGTCAAGGTCAAATAAAACCTGCGTGACTGACATATAGATCATAAAATATTTCCATACACCAAATATAGTTGAACTATTGCATATAGTATTAGAAAAAAAGACCAAAACTCAAAAACTTAACTTTGACCACTGAACCATGAAAATGAGGTCAAGGTAAGATGACACCTGCCAGCTAGACATGTACACCTTACAATCATTCCATACACCAAATATAGCTGACCTATTGCATGCAGTATTAGAAAAAAAGACCAAAACTCAAAAACTTAACTTTGACCACTGAACCATGAAAATGAGGTCAAGGTCAGATGACACCTGCCAGCTAGACATGTACACCTTACAATCATTCCATACACCAAATATAGTAGACCTATTGCATACAGTATAAGAAAAACAGACCAAAACACAAAAACTTAACTATAACCACTGAACCATGAAAATGAGGTCAAGGTCAGATGACACCTGCCAGTTGGACATGTACACCTTACAGTCCTTCCATACACCGAATATACTAGACCTATTGCTTATAGTATCTGAGATATGGACTTGACCACCAAAACTTAACCTTGTTCACTGATCCATGAAATGAGGTCGAGGTCAAGTGAAAACTGTCTGACGGGCATGAGGACCTTGCAAGGTACGCACATACCAAATATAGTTATCCTATTACTTATAATAAGAGAGAATTTAACATTACAAAAAATCTGAACTTTTTTTTCAAGTAGTCACTGAACCATGAAAATGAGGTCAAGGACATTGGACATGTGACTGACGGAAACTTCGTAACATGAGGCATCCATATACAAAGTATGAAGCATCCAGGTCTTCCATCTTCTAAAATATAAAGCTTTTAAGAAGTTAGCTAACGCCGCCGCCGGATCGCTATCCCTATGTCGAGCTTTCTGCGACAAAAGTCGCAGGCTCGACAAAAATGAAGCATTAAGGATGAGGTTATTTCTCATGTGAAAAGCTAAAGAAATTTCATATGATAATTTTATATAGCCTTGCATGCTTGAGCATATTTATTTTGTTGTTTGCCTTAGGTCCAGTAGCAAATATTTCATGCACATTCTGGAGTAGAACAAATAAACTATAAATGAAATTTTCAGGACCTGAAATGGGGATGGACAAGAATAGCTACAAACTTTTAACTGACAATAAAATTGAGAATGGAAATGGGGAATGTGTCAAAGAGACAACAACCCGACCATAGAGCAGACAACAGCCGAAGGCCACCAATGGGTCTTCAATGCAGCGAGAAACTCCCGCACCCGGAGGCGTCCTTCAGCTGGCCCCTAAACAAATATGTATACTAGTGATAATGGACGTCATACTAAACTCCAAATTATACACAAGAAACTAAAATTAAAAATGATACAAGACTAACAAAGGCCAGAGGCTCCTGACTTGGGACAGGCGCAAAAATGTGGCGGGGTTAAACATGTTTTTTGAGATCTCAACCCTCCCCCTATACCTCTAGCCAATGTAAAAAAAACAAACGTACAACAGTACGCACAGTAAAACTCAGTTTAAGAGAAGTCTGAGTCCGATGTCAGAATAGGAAACAAAAAAATTAATACATAGGCACATTTCATTCAGAGTATGTCATATATCTACTAAAGTACAATATTGGTCAATCAAAGAAGCATTACTATGTAAAATCATGTACATATCCCTGGACCCCTAATCATAATTATTATTCAGGAGCTGTAGGTCAATTTCTTTCAAAATTTGAAAAAAAAATGTAAAAAGTTAAAAAAAAGTTTTTTAATATTTGAAAAAAAATTATATAATTACTACACACCCATACTTAATCATAATTACCCATTAAACTCACTCATGCAGGATGTCACACCTGTACTTTGAATATTCAATAATGAAGGAAAAAATGTTATTAAAAAAAATTTACAAAAAAAACAAATAAACAAATAAAATGAAAAATGTCTTGAGTATATACAATAAAGAAGAAGAAAAAACAACAACAAAAAACATGTCTACAGTTGTGTTTAATGCGCATCCCCTCTACCAACTACAGTATTAGGGTAAAAGTGTGTATTTTACACGACAAAATACGGTAACTTAAATTAAACAAGCATTCTGAGAATATTGCATGGCAATACATAGTCCCCTACTGGGTAAAAATTCATTTTACTGGAACAAAATGCTAACTTGTTCTATAACTTGTCATGGTGTAAACAAAAAGTAAATATCATGTCAATATCTTCAAGCACGACTAAAAACAGTGTGGACAATTGATTATATGAGTGAAGAAAACATTAGATATGATTAATAGTTCTCTAAAATTAGATATGATGTAATACAGTGTATATCTATTTTTCAAATTATAATCAAATATAATTAATAGTTCCAAATATTTTTTCTTTCATTTGTCACAAACTAATATAGATTTGTAACTTATCTATAAAATTTCAACAACTTTTATCTACACAATGTAATGTATTGAAATATATACATTAATAAAAATAGACTATTATCTAATTAAAAGATTTCTCTTCATAATTTTTTTTTATATCTATAGCATTCAGAAAATTAGTTTATACTAAATAACAAACAAACCTGACAAAAAATTCTTCAAATAATTTAAAAAAGAATGTCTTTTAAAAAATGAGTTATCTCCCTTTGTACAGAAATATGGTTTAACATAGAACTCCAACATTATATATGGTCCAGAGTTATGGTCCATAACTCTGGACTAAATCATCAGACCGGAACAACATTCCAACTTGATCTATAACTTGTCATGATAAAACTATATACCAAATATCAAATCAATATCTTCAAGGACGAAGAAAAAAGTGTGGAAAGCTGATTTGCCGGACTGACGGATGGACAGACGGACGGAGTGCAAACCTTAAGTCCCCTTCGACCTCGTCGGTAGGGGACTAATAAAATGCTTCAATGAGCGCAGCCTGATACGACGTCAGTGGTTGAACCCTGAACAGTTGGGGCAAATTTGGACACAATATTCAAGCTTGATACTATCTGAATTTGGATTGTGATCAAATTTTTGACATAATATAGGTTTCTGACACAAAATAAATGTGGTCAAAGATCTTACAAATCTAAGGCACAATACTGTGCAATTGAAGATTTCTTCTTGAAACTTTTCAAAAATTTTAAATTTTGAAAATTTTGAAAAAAAAATATGAACCCTTTTAAAAACTAGAGGCTCTCAAGAGCCTGTGTCGCTCACCTGATTCTACTTTGGTTTTGGAAATCATGTAAAAATAGATTTAAATCATAACAGATACCCTAATAATGAGTGAGGCCAAATTTGGTTTAATATTGGTCCTGTAATTTAATAAAAAATCCTGGTGGCCATCTTGAACAGTAAATCGGCAACAAAGTAGCAACACTTCATCAGCACCTCATAAGAAACGTTTATGCCATGTTTTGGTTTCATTCCATTCAGTGCACCTCTAGAAGAAGCATTTGTATGTATTTCCCATAGGGTCTTATGTTAAAGGAAGTCCCCCCATTGGCGGCCATCATGGATGAAGGATCAGCTTCAAAGTAACAAAACTTAGTCAGCACCTCATAAGGAACATTCTTGCCATGTTTGGTTTCAATCCATTCAGTATGTGGTTCTCTTAAAGAAGACATTTGTATGTATTGTCCATAGGGTCCTTTGTTAAACATTGTCCCCATCTGGCAGCCATCATGGATGAAGGATCAGCTTCAAAGTAACAACACTTGGTCAGCACCTCAAAAGGAACATGCATGCCATGTTTGGTTTCATTACATTCAATGGTTCTCTAAAAGAAGACATTTGTATGTATTTCCCATAGGCTCCTATGTTAAACTAAGTCTCCCGCTGGCGGCCATCTTGGATTATGGATCAGATTCAAAGTAACAACACTCGGTCAGCACCTCATAAGGAACATTCATGCCATGTTTGGTTTCATTCCATTCAGTGGTTCTCTAAATGAAGACATTTGTATGTATTTCCCATTGGGTCCCATGTTAACTAAGTCCCCTGCTGGCGGCCATCTTGGATTATGGATTGGCTTCAAAGTAACAACACTCAGTCAGCACCTCATAAGAAACATTCATGCCATGTTTGGTTTTATTCCATTCAGTGTTTTTCTAAAAGAAGACATTTGTATGTATTTCCCATAGGGTCCTATGTTAAACTAAGTCCCCCGCTGGCGGCCATCTTGTATAATGGATCAGCTTCAAAGTAACAACACTTGGTCAGCACCTCATAAGAAACATTCATGCCATGTTTGGTTTCATTCCATTCAGTGATTCTCTAAAAGAATACGTTTGTATGTATTTCCCATTGGGTCCCATGTTAAACTAAGTCCCCCGCTGGCGGCCATCTAGGATTATGGATCGGCTTCAAAGTAACAACACTTGGTCAGCACCTCATAAGAAACATTCATGCCATGTTTGGTTTCATTCCATTCAGTGATTCTCTAAAAGAATACGTTTGTATGTATTTCCCATTGGGTCCCATGTTAAACTAAGTCCCCCGCTGGCGGCCATCTAGGATTATGGATCGGCTTCAAAGTAACAACACTTGGTCAGCACCTCATAAGAAACATTCATGCCATGTTTGGTTTCATTCCATTCAGTGATTCTCTAAAAGAATACGTTTGTATGTATTTCCCATTGGGTCCCATGTTAAACTAAGTCCCCCGCTGGCGGCCATCTAGGATTATGGATCGGCTTCAAAGTAACAACACTTGGTCAGCACCTCATAAGAAACATTCATGCCATGTTTGGTTTCATTCCATTCAGTGATTCTCTAAAAGAATACGTTTGTATGTATTTCCCATTGGGTCCCATGTTTTACTAAGTCACCCGCTGGCGGCCATCTAGGATTATGGATCGGCTTCAAAGTAACAACACTTGGTCAGCACCTCATAAAGAACATTCATGCCATGTTTGGTTTCATTCCATTCAGTGGTTCTCTAAAAGAAGACATTTGTATGTATTTCCCATAGGGTCCCATGTTAAACTAAGTCCCCTGCTGGCGGCCATCTTGGATTATGGATCGGCTTCAAAGTAACAACACTCGGTCAGTACCTCATAAGAAACATTCATGCCATGTTTGGTTTCATTCCATTCAGTGATTCTCTAAAAGAAGACATTTGTATGTATTTCCCATAGGGTCCAATGTTAAACTAAGTCCCCTGCTGGCAGCCATCCTGGATTATGGATCAGTTTCATAGTAACAACACTTGGTCAGCACCTCATAAGGAACATTCATGCAATGTTTGGTTTCATTCCATTCAGTGGTTCTCTAAAAGAAGACATTTGTATGTATTTCCCATAGGGTCCCATGTTAAACTAAGTCCCCTGCTGGCGGCCATCTTGGATTATGGATCGGCTTCAAAGTAACAACACTCGGTCAGCAGCTCATAACGAACATTCATACCATGTTTGGTTTCATTCCATTCAGTGTTTTTCTAAAAGAAGACATTTGTATGTATTTCCCATTGGGTCCTATGTTAAACTAAGTCCCCCGCTGGAGGCCATCTTGGATAATGGATCAGCTTCAAAGTAACAACACTTGGTCAGCACCTCATAAGGAACATTCATGCCATGTTTGGTTTCATTCCATTCAGTAGTTCTCTAAAAGAAAACATTTGTATGTATTTCCGATAGGGTCCTATGTTAAACTAAGTCCCCCGCTGGTGGCCATCTTGGATGATGGATCCGCTACAAAGTAACAACACTTGGTCAGTACCTCATAAGGAACATTCATGCCATGTTTGGTTTCATTCCATTCTGTGGTTCTCTAGAAGAAGTTCAAAATGTAAAAAGTTAACGACGACGACGGACGACGGACGCCAAGTGATGAGAATAGCTCACTTGGCCCTTCGGGCCAAGTGAGCTAAAAAAATGGGAACCCCCCCTTCCCCCCCAAAACTTTTTGAATCCCCCTTTTAGCATTAACCATCAAACTCAATTGCAGTCTTTCCTTTGTAGTATGGAACCTTGTAGTACAATTTTAGAGAGATCCATACACTTCATCACAAGTTACTGTCTGGAAACTAGAAAAATGCTTTTTTTAACCATAAAAGCCCATTTAAATACATCATAAAAGAAAATGACATCATAGTCATGGCTAAAATTAAAAACCCTTCATCAGCTACTTTTAATAGTAATATCTAAAAATAAAATTCCTTCATCAGCATTTAGAGTAACTTCTAAAAATAAATTGACAGCTAGGACTTTGCAACCATAAAAACCCATTTAAATACATCATAAAAGTATTAAAATAGAAAATGACATCATAATCATGCCTAAAATTAAAACACTTTCATCAGCAACATCAAATAGTAATATCTAAAAATAAAATTCCTTCACATACATAATCATGGCTAAAATTAAATAATTTTTAAAATAGAAAATGGCATCATAATCATGCCTAAAATTAAAAAGCCTCCATCAGCAACATTAAATAGTAATATCTAAAAATAAAATTCCTTCACATACATAATCATGGCTATAATTAAATTACCTTTATTAAACATTATTAAAATAGTAACTTCTAAAAACAAGAGTGCACACGCTGAAATGTCTCGCCTTCTTTACTAATCATTGATATTATGTTGATAGTCCTAAATATAAAGCTTTATTACAACTGTCACATAAACTTAACATTAACCAAGTAAACTAAACATTGACCAATGAACCATGAAAATGAGGTCAAGGTCAGATGAACCATGCTAGGCAGGCATGTACAGCTAACAATTCTTCCATACAACAAATATAGTTGACCTATTGCTTATAGTTTAAGAAAAACAGACGAAAACACAAAAACTTAACACTGAGCAATGAACCTTGAAAATGAGGTCAAGGTCAAATAAAACCTGCGTGACTGACATATAGATCATAAAATATTTCCATACACCAAATATAGTTGAACTATTGCATATAGTATTAGAAAAAAAGACCAAAACTCAAAAACTTAACTTTGACCACTGAACCATGAAAATGAGGTCAAGGTAAGATGACACCTGCCAGCTAGACATGTACACCTTACAATCATTCCATACACCAAATATAGCTGACCTATTGCATGCAGTATTAGAAAAAAAGACCAAAACTCAAAAACTTAACTTTGACCACTGAACCATGAAAATGAGGTCAAGGTCAGATGACACCTGCCAGCTAGACATGTGCACCTTACAATCATTCCATACACCAAATATAGTAGACCTATTGCATACAGTATAAGAAAAACAGACCAAAACACAAAAACTTAACTTTAACCACTGAACCATGAAAATGAGGTCAAGGTCAGATGACACCTGCCAGTTGGACATGTACACCTTACAGTCCTTCCATACACCGAATATACTAGACCTATTGCTTATAGTATCTGAGATATGGACTTGACCACGAAAACTTAACCTTGTTCACTGATCCATGAAATGAGGTCGAGGTCAAGTGAAAACTGTCTGACGGGCATGAGGACCTTGCAAGGTACGCACATACCAAATATAGTTATCCTATTTCTTATAATAAGAGAGAATTTAACATTACAAAAAATCTGAACTTTTTTTTCAAGTAGTCAGTGAACCATGAAAATGAGGTCAAGGACATTGGACATGTGACTGACTGAAACTTCGTAACATGAGGCATCCATATACAAAGTATGAAGCATCCAGGTCTTCCATCTTCTAAAATATAAAGCTTTTAAGAAGTTAGCTAACGCCGCCGCCGCCGCTGGATCGCTATCCCTATGTCGAGCTTTCTGCGACAAAAGTCGCAGGCTCGACAAAAATTGACAGCTAATCACCTAAAGACTATACATTTCTTTATAAATAATTTACAAGCAGTGTAAGGGAGGTAATTTGACAATTTGTGTTTGAATTACCTCCCTTACACTGCTTTGAAATTATGTTTTGTACTTAATTGTCCATTAACCTGGAAACCCTTGTTTTTCCCCCTTTTTTGCCCCTAATTCCTATACAGTTTGAGCCATAACCACCCAAAGCAAATTCTTAAGATCCCTTTATGATATGGTAACTTGTGGTATAATTTCAGAGAGATCCATACACCATTTCACAAGTTATTGTCTGGAAACTAGAAAAATGCTTATTTGGACCCCATTTTGGCCCCTAATTCCTGAACTGTTAGGACCATAACCCCCAAAATCAATCCCAACCTTCCTTTTGTGGTATTGAACCTTTTGGCAAAATTTCATAGAGATCCATTCACTTAAACTAAAGTTAGAGTGCGAAAACCAATGTGTCTTCGGACGACGACGACAACGTCATACCAATATACGACTGCGGTCGTATAAAAACAGCTTTTGTCCCCTATGTTTTATTTTTAGCCATAGCGGCCATGTTTGTTGATGGATCAAAACTTCGGATATAAGTTATAAGCTACATACCCTAAGGAACATTCAGTTAAAGTTTGAAGGTATTTTGCCCAGTAGTTTCAGAGGAGAAGATTCTTGAAGTAGTTTACGATGACGGACGCCAAGTGATGGCATACATGGCATAAGCTCACATGGGGCCCTTTGGCCCTGGTGAGCTAAAAAGGAAAAAGTTCTTTCTCTCCATTCCTCATCTCAGTTATTGCAGCTCATCAAACCAGAAGAATAGTTTTTTTCACATTTTCTCTATTTCTGGTTTTTATCATTTTGGTCTCAAATCATATGTTATACCTGTATTGGTTGACAAACAGGGCTTTTTTAAGGTGGATCAGCAGTACATGTATATGATTCCTCAGATAGAATTTTCTTATACTTTGCCAAAATGAAGATTTCACTATGCTTTTTTCAAAAATATAATAAAAAGTATGGATCACTGTGCTATTTTTCAAGCTACAAGTCGTGCAAAATTGCCCAAATTTGCATAGATTGTTCAGGAAAAAACACATTTTTGTGAATAAAAAGAAATATATGAGATAGAATTTTGAAATAAAATATGAGAAAATAGATTTTATAATATGCTTTAAGAAAATAAAAAGAAAAAGGGTGTCACCAACTTGTTTTCTTGCTACAAGTAAAAAATGAAAATTTCACTATCGTTCCAGTGTAAAATTTATACTATAAGAGTTATTTCCCCTTAAATGGCTAAGTTGAAAAATTGATTCTAAAATACAGAAATATTTGGTATTTGTTTAAACATTTTGGATTATGCAATAAATCACTTATTTTTCTTTATAAAAATAAACATTCTTACACATAAATTGCAAATCAATCTCAAAATTTGCAGATATAGGCAAAGAACTAGACCGATTGTGTACTGCTACTGTACAACCCAAGATGGCGGTATACAGTGAATCTACCTTAAACAACATGAGATTGAAAATTTTTCTAAATAACAGTAAATTTTAATAAATTGCTTCGCCAAGCGCAGCTGGATACGACCGCAGAGGTCCAACCCTGAACAGTTGGGGCAAAAATGGACACAATATTCGAGCTTGATACAGGTCTGAATTTGGATTGTAATTAAATATTTGACACATAATAGGGTTCTGACACAGAATAACTGTAGTCAAAGAACTTAAAATTGGTTATATGATTTGAATTTATATTCAATTTTTTGCTTTTGTGCAATTCCCTATGCTGTTGCGAATTGACCCCCCTCCCCCTCCAAAAAAAAAATTTCTTCTTAATTTCTGAAAAAATTGTCCCTCCCCCATTTTTTCCACCTTCCCCTCCTTTTTCAAAATTTCCAATGGAGTTTGCAACCATAGTTACCCATTTAAATACATCATAAAAGTCTTAAAATAGAAAATGACATACATAATCATGGCTAAAATTAATATTCCTTAATCAGCATTTTTAAATAGTAACTTCTAAAAATAAATTGACAGCTTATCACCTCAAGACAATACAACATTTCTTTATACATAATTTAAAAGCAGTGTTAGGGAGGTAATCCAAACATAACATTGTACTTTTTTTTCAATTGTCCATTAACCACGAAACCCATGTTTTTCCCCCTTTTTGCTCCTAATTCCTAATCGGTTTGAGCCATAACCCCCCAAAGCCAATCCTAACCATCCCTTTGTGGTATGGAAACTTGTGGTATAATTTCAGAGAGATCCATACACCGTTCCACAAGTTATTGTCCGGAAACTTGAAAAATGCTTATTTGGGCCCCTTTTTGGCTCCTAATTCCTAAACTGTTAGGACTATAACCCCCAAAATCAATCCCAACCTTCCTTTTGTGGTTATAAACCTTGTGTTTAAATTTCATAGATTTCTATTTACATTTACTAAAGTTATTGTCCAGAAACCAAATGTCTTTGGACAACGCCGACATGATACCAATATACGACCGCAAAATTTTTTGCGGTCGTATAAATACAGACATATCAATCTTTAATGAAAAGCTTAGTATTTGGTTTTGACATTTGAATCTCAAACTGATAAACTAAACTGGGAGATCATCAAACAGAGGAGACCAGAATATTGTTTAAAAATGAAATAGATCAAAGACTCAAATGGCCGGGTTATACAGAATGTTTCTTAAAACAATGGAGAATGCTCTATACTGAACATTTAAATATTTGTAGAATGACTAAGTTCCCAAGTCTGGAAATATGAGAAAACACACAACTTCAGCATATGTGCAATCTTCCTGTTAAGTTTCAGGGATCTGGGTTGAAAACTGTAGGAGTTGAATACAAATAACGTGTACCCTCTTTCATAAATTTTGCAAAAAATGACAGTTATGACTAAGTTCTTATGTCTGGAAAAATGAGAAAAAAATTCTTCAAACAATTCCATAATAGCTGGAACACAACTTCAGCATATGTGCAAACTTCCTGTGAAGTTTCAGGGATTTGGGTTGAAAACTGTAGGAGTTGATTACACAAAACTTGTACCCTCTTTCATAAATTTTGCTGAAAAATGACTGGAAACATGATTAAATAAATGTGGATTGTGTCCACACGTGGACACAGATGATGCCCCCGCATGCATATCATATAGTTATAAAGGGACATAACTGAAGAACAGTAAAAGTGACGCTACCCAAATTTGAACTTGATCTGAGTTTTGTGGTAATAAGCATTGTGTGTAAGTCTTTCTTCAAAGTGTTCTTTAATTTGAATTGGATTACCTCCCTTACACTGCTTTTAAATTGTCTCAATTGTCCTTTAACCAGAAAAACCCTTGTTTTCCCCTTTTTTTGCCCCTAATTACTAAATGGTTTGAGCCATAACCCCCCAAAGTCAATTCTAACCATCCCTTTGTTGAATGGAAGTTTGTGGTATAATTTCAGAGAGATTCATACACTTTAACACAAGTAATTGTCTGGAAACTACAAAAACACTTATTTGGGCCCCTTTTTTGGCCCCTAATTCCTAAACAGTTGGGAACATAACCCCCAAAATCAATCCCAACCTTCCTTTAGTGGTTATAAACCTTGTGTTAAAATTTTATTGATTTCTATTTACTTATACTAAAGTTATTATCCGGAAACCATCTGTCTTCGGACGACGACGACGACGACGTGATACCAATATATGACCAAAAAAATTTTTAATTTTTGCGGTCGTATAAAAATTCAGCAATTTTTCTATTTGTAAACACACACAACTCTAGAACTGTTGTGTATAAGTTTTATAACATTTGGTTGAAACAAACTAAAGTTAGAGAACGGAAACGAAAAATTCAGCAATTTTTATGTTTATTATTATAAAGGGACACAACTCAAGAATGGTAAAAGTGATGCCACCAAATTTCGTACTTAATCTGTATTATGTAGTAATACGCATTGTGTATAAGTTTCATAACATTTTGTTGAGGCAAACTAGAGTTAGAGAACAGAAACAAAAAGATAATAAATAAAATGCTTCGCTGGGGCGCAGCTTGATACGACCGCAGAGGTCGAACCCTGAACAGTTGGGGCAAGTATGGACACAACATTCAAGCTTGAAACAGCTTTGAATTTGGATTGTTATTAAATATTTGACACAGCATAGGTTTCTGACACAGAAAGAATGTAGTCTAAGAACTTGAATTTTTTTAATTTACCTATTATGGTCCAATGTCCAAAATTAAAATACATGGTTAGATTCAGCATATCAAAGAACCCCATATATTCAATTTTTGTTGAAATCAAACAAAGTTTAATTTTGGACCCCAACTTGGACAAACTTGAAAACTGGGCCCATAATCAAAAATCTAAACACATGTTTAGATTCAGCATATCAAAGAACCCCATGAATTCAATTTTTGCTAAAATCAAACTAAGTTTAATTTTGGACCCTTTTGACCTTAATGTAGACCAATTTAAAAAACAGGACTTAAAATTAAAAATCTAAATACACGGTTAGATTTGGAATATCAAAGAACCACAATAATTCAATTTTTGATGAAATCAAACAAAGTTTAATTTTGGACCCTTTTGACCTCAATATGAACCAATTTGATAGCGGGGCCTACAAATAAAAATCTAAATTCATGGTTAGATTCAGCATATCAAAGAACCCCATATATTCAATTTTTGTTGAAATCAAACAAAGTTTAATTTTGGACCCCAACTTGGACAAACTTGAAAACTGGGCCCATAATCAAAAATCTAAACACATGTTTAGATTCAGCATATCAAAGAACCCCAAGAATTAAATTTTTGCTAAAATCAAACTAAGTTTAATTTTGGACCCTTTGGACCTCAATGAAGACCAATTTAAAAAACGGGACTTAAAATTAAAAATCTAAATACACGGTTAGATTTGGAATATCAAAGAACCACAATAATTCAATTTTTGATGAAATCAAACAAAGTTTAATTTTGGACCCTTTTGACCTCAATATGAACCAATTTGATAGCGGGGCCCACAAATAAAAAATCTAAATACATGGTTAGATTCAGCATATCAAAGAACCTCATATATTCAATTTTTGTTGAAATCAAACAAAGTTAATTTTGGACCCCAATTTGGACCAACTTGAAAACTGGGCCCATAATCAAAAATATAAATACATGTTTAGATTCAGCATATCAAAGAACCCCATATATTCAATTTTTGTTGAAATCAAACAAAGTTTGAATACTGGACCCTATCTTGGACCAACTTGAAAACTGGGCCCATAATCAAAAATCTAAACACATGTTTAGATTCAGCATATCAAAGAACCCCAAGAATTCAATTTTTGTTAAAATCAAACTAAGTTTAATTTTGGACCCTTTGGACCTTAATGTAGACCAATTTAAAAAACAGGACCCAAAATTAAAAATCTAAATACACGGTTAGATTTGGAATATCAAAGAACCCCAATAATTCAATTTTAGAGGAAATCAAACAAAGTTTAATTTTGGACCCTTTTGACCTCAATATGAACCAATTTGATAACGGGGTCCACAAATAAAAAATCTAAATACATGGTTAGATTCAGCATATCAAAGAACCCCATATATTCAATTTTTGTTGAAATCAAACAAAGTTTAATTTTGGACCCCAATTTGGACCAACATGAAAACTGGGCCAAAAATCAAAAATCTAAATACATGTTTAGATTCAGCATATCAAAGAACCTCATATATTCAATTTTTGCTAAAATCAAACAAAGTTTAATTTTGGACCCTTTGGACCTTAATGTAGACCAATTTGAAAACTGGACCCAAAATTAAAAATCTAAATACACTGTTAGATTCGGCATAACAAATAAATAAATGTGATCAAAGATTTTACAAATCTAATGCGCCATACTGTGCAATTAAAGATTACTTCTTGAAATTTTTCAATATTTGAAATTTGAAAAAAAAAAAATATTTGAAGAATAATTCTTTTTAATTTCTGAAATCTGAAATGAGAAAAAATTGACCCCCCACAATTTCTTTTTATCCCCCCCCCTTTTTTTCCACAAAAAATTCTTTCCCTCAAGATATGGTCATAATCTCAATTCAAATTTCCAATGGAGTTGGCAACCATAATTACCCATTTAAATTTACCATAGTGCTAACTTAATCTATTTTATATCTAAAAATATAGTGTCAAATCTTTCATATGGATTTTTTTGTAAAAAAAAAAGATGCAACATTTGCAGATATTTTTACTGGTGTTCCTTTATAAATACGCATTTCTTTAAACATAATTTAAAAGCAGTGTAAGGGAAGTAACCAAAACGTTGTATTTGGATTACCTCCCTTACACTGTTTTAAATTATCTTTATTGTTCATTAACCATTACTTTATACATAATTTAAAAGCAGTGTAAGGGAGATAATTTCAATGATGTATTTGATTTATCTCCCTTACACTGCTTTAAATTATGTTTTGTATTAAAGTATTTGTCCATTAACCAGGACAACCTTGTTTTTCCCCCTTTTTTGCCCCTAATTCCTAAACGGTTTGAGCCATAACCCCCCAAAGCAAATCCTAACCATCCCTTTGTGGTATGGAAACTTGTAGTATAATTTCAGAGAGATCCATACACCGTTCCACAGTTATTGTCTGGAAACTAGAAAATGCTTTTTTTTGGCCCCTTTTTGGCCCCTAATTCCTTAACTGTTGGTACCATAACCCCCAAAATCAATCCCAACCTTCCTTTTGTGGTATTTAACCTTATGGTCAAATTTCAAAAAGATCCATTCACTTAAACTAAAGTTAGAGTGCGAAAACCAATGTGTCTTCGGACAACGACGACGACGACGCCAATGTCATACCAATATACGACCACAAAATTTTTTTGCGGTTGTATAAAAATTTGCAATTTTTCCATTTATAAAGGGGCATAACTCTAGAACGGTTAAAGTGATGCCACCAAAATTTAAACTTGATCCGTGTTTTGTGGTAATAAGCATTGTGTATAAGATTCATAACATTTGGTTGAGGCAAACTTAAGTTAGAGAACGGAAACTAAAATTTTTGCAATTTTTCCATTTATAAATGGTATAACTCTAGAGCAGTTGAAGTGATGCCACCAAAATTCAATTTTGATCTGTATTTTGTGGTAATAAGCATTGTGTATAAGTTTCATAACATTTGGTTGATGCAAACTTAAGTTAGAGAACGGAAACTAAAAATTTTGCAATTTTTCCATTTATAAAGGGGCATAACTCTAGAACGGTTACAGTGACGCCACCAAAATTCAAACTTGATCTGTATTTTTGGTAATAAGCATTGTGTATAAGTTTCATAACATTTGGTTGAGGCAAACTTAAGTTAGAGAATGGAAACTAAAAATTTTGGAATTTTTCCATTTATAAAGGGGCATTACTCTAGAACAGTTAAAGTGACGCCACCAAAATTCAAACTTGATCTGTGTTTTGTGGTAATAAACATTGTGTATCAGTTTCATAACATTTGGTTGAGGCAAACTCAAGTTAGAGAACAGAAACCAATTTTGGGACGTAAGTACAGACAGACAAGTGTAAAACTTAATGCCCCCACCGCTACCGGGGGGGGGGGGGGGGGGCATAAAAATCCTCACATAATTGAAACTGTAGGAGGAGTTGATTACACAAACTAGGGTCAAACTTTTTACCACCCGCTCATCCTACTGACATCACCTCACTAGAAGCCAGTTTTAAACTTTGCCTAAACATGTCAACAAGAGTGCACACGCTGAAATGTCTCGCCTTCTTTACTAATCATTGATATTATGTTGATAGACCTAAATATAAAGCTTTATTAAAACTGTCACATAAACTTAACATTAACCAAGTAAACTAAACATTGACCAATGAACCATGAAAATGAGGTCAAGGTCAGATGAACCATGCTAGGCAGGCATGTACAGCTAACAATTCTTCCATACAACAAATATAGCTGACCTATTGCTCATAGTTTAAGAAAAACAGACAAAAACACAAAAACTTAACACTGAGCAATGAACCTTGAAAATGAGGTCAAGGTCAAATAAAACCTGCATGACTGACATATAGATCATAAATTATTTCCATACACCAAATATAGTTGAACTATTGCATATAGTATTAGAAAAAAAGACCAAAACTCAAAAACTTAACTTTGACCACTGAACCATGAAAATGAGGTCAAGGTCAGATGACACCTGCCAGCTAGACATGTACACCTTACAATCATTCCATACACCAAATATAGTAGACCTATTGCATACAGTATTAGAAAAAAAGACCAAAACTCAAAAACTTAACTTTGACCACTGAACCATGAAAATGAGGTCAAGGTCAGATGACACCTACCAGCTAGACATGTACACCTTACAATCATTCCATACACCAAATATAGTTGAACTATTGCATACAGTATAAGAAAAACAGACCAAAACACAAAAACTTAACTTTGACCACTGAACCATGAAAATGAGGTCAAGGTCAGATGACACCTGCCAGCTAGACATGTACACCTTACAATCATTCCATACACCTAATATAGTAGACCAATTGCATACAGTATTAGAAAAACAGACCAAAACACAAAAACTTAACTATAACCACTGAACCATGAAAATGAGGTCAAGGTCAGATGACACCTGCCAGCTAGACATTTACACCTTACAATCATTCCATATACCTAATATAGTAGACCTATTGCATACAGTATAAGAAAAACAGACCAAAACACAAAAACTTAACTATAACCACTGAACCATGAAAATGAGGTCAAGGTCAGATGACACCTGCCAGCTAGACATGTACACCTTACAATCATTCCATATACCAAATATAGTAGACCTATTGCATACAGTATAAGAAAAACAGACCAAAACACAAAAACTTAACTATAACCACTGAACCATGAAAATGAGGTCAAGGTCAGATGACACCTGCCAGTTGGACATGTACACCTTACAGTCCTTCCATACACCGAATATACTAGACCTATTGCTTATAGTATCTGAGATATGGACTTGACCACCAAAACTTTACCTTGGTCACTGATCCATGAAATGAGGTCGAGGTCAAGTGAAAACTGTCTGACGGGCATGAGGACCTTGCAAGGTACGCACATACCAAATATAGTTATCCTATTACTTATAATAAGAGAGAATTAAACATTACAAAAAATCTTAACTTTTTTTTCAAGTAGTCACTGAACCATGAAAATGAGGTCAAGGACATTGGACATGTGACTGACGGAAACTTCGTAACATGAGGCATCCATATACAAAGTATGAAGCATCCAGATCTTCCACCCTCTAAAATATAAAGCTTTTAAGAAGTTAGCTAACGCCGCCGCCGCCGCCGTAGCCGCCGGATCACTATCCCTATGTCGAGCTTTCTGCGACAAAAGTCGCAGGCTCGACAAAAATTAAGAATTCTCAATGAGACTGTATGGATACATTGGATTTTAACTAGCTATCACTAAAATAACCTTATTCTTGATGCTATTAAACCATTCAACAAGTTTCCAATGCAATTTTGTCCTTGTTCGGATTTGATTTAAAAAATGTAACTTTACTCTTAATTTCTAATAGATTACTTGCATGTAATAATTTTATGAACTAGCAAAATAAGGGCAAATCCAAATTCCCACCAACAGTTTGCCCTCTTATTAATGCTAATTTTCAGCCCTGCCATGTTAACTTGGTTTATGACTTGTTTTCCTTATCTGATCAATGAAAAAAATAACATTTCTGTTCCTTCAATATACATGTATGTTTATTGTAAGTAATGAGATTCTTGACTCAAGGAGTAATACCACCATTGTTTTTCCCCTATTAGTCTTTGTTAAATTGCTACTTTTCAAAAAATGTGTGCAGAATTTATCTTTGTTTCAAATAAAGAAATACTTGACATGGGTAGAGTTTTATCCTGTCCAGTACTAAAGTGAAAATTTGACATAACATTTCATTGCATATAAGATAATAACCATCACTAGAAGTTGACCAATCAAATGTTCACCCTTTTTTTCCTGTTTACAAGCTTTAGTAAACATGTCACCTCAAGTTTCCAAAAATATTTCATAGAAACACCTAATAAAAAAAGAATGGTGCTTTGAAACACTCAAGATATATGTTTATAGCTCACAGTTTTTTTCTGCAATGATATGCAGGGTTTATTTCCTACAACTGTCAAATTCAGGGAAATATTTTTTTTTCGTATGAAACCGGACGTGACATACTATGATTTAGGGCATTACACCTTAAGTACATTGATCCTTAACATTACTTTTCTTCCTTGTCATTTTATCCTAATATGTTTATTTAATTCCAACAAAAGGGCTGTAATGCTATCATTAAGTATTTGAGAAATTCATTGAAACCTAAAATATAGGTCGGATTGACCTAATTGTAATTTTGTTAGATGCTGCTAAACTCCTCAAATTGCATTTTAGTACATTGTACTGTGGATTCATTATATTTCCTGGGATATCAATTTTTGTGAATTTCTTGGGCATAGGTTCACCACCAATTTCAATGTTCACAAAGTACAAATTTTCTACAGCCAGGCTTCATCCTTGTAAACAGATTATATCAAATATCTACAAAGTACAAATTTTCTGCAATCCACGAAAATAAATGAATCAATAGTAATTGGATTGTAAGTCATTTAGTTTCTGAGATCTAACTGGTGGTGTTTAACGACCTTGACTGGATGGTAAGCCGTCGCACAATCAGTCTGAGATCTATTGTCAGTCTCTTAGTATATAGATATAGACTTTGCTTTCATTTATCATTTAATCATGTTAATCAAAGTCAATGAAGAACAAAATAATGCATACACATGTTACATGTCAGAGTAAAAGGGAGGCTGTTGTACTCAACTAGCTGACCCTTATACCAATTTAATAAGTGAGGTCACTTAGTATCTGAGAACTGATTTCGAATGTAAAAAATACAAAGTTTAAAACTATTCAATCACTGAACCATGAAATACTGGATATGTGACCATCATCTTATGGCACATGGTTGGTCTTTCAAAGAAACATCTGCACATCAAATTAAGTTGTCACGAGGTTATAAGAGACTGTGGACAAACATCCGCATGTGGATGTCTGGTTACTCAACTAGCTCTGATCAAGTTTTTTATGAGTATTAAAAAGACATATACAAGTATTTATTATAATATACATTGTACCTCCTTCATCAATATCCAACACTTTATCAATCTTTTTCTGTGCATTCTTTAATGCCTGGCTAGCCTGCGAAGCAAAGTTAGTCAATCCACTTGTATCCCACCAGCTCATATTGGTATCTGAAAAGAAAATAGGAAATCATAGAAATCAAATAAATTTGTACCATTGCTTAAAGTATCATAGCTTCAGTAACAACAAATTGTATTTAGTCAACCTCAAATAACTGTTCTACCGTGGATTTATTTTTTTTTTTGGGTGCCAGTTTTAGTGGATTGGGGAAAACTTGTATTTTTGTGGATATCTAATTTTGTGGTTTTATCAAAGTCTGCATACAACTTCATAGAAAATGTGTCATTTGTTGAACATTTAAAATTGTGGTTCATCTGTTCCCACGAAAATCTATGAAAATTGGTATCCAAAAAATTAATAAGTGATCAGAATATTAAAGTATTACTTCTTATGTACTTCTTTCAAAATTGAATTTAGTAATGTTTACAATGAAAAGTTAAAAAAGCAAGAGCAGCCACCTGGGCAAACAATATTTAATGTCTCACTGTCCGTGATAAGGTTTTCCTATTTTTTTATTTCTGCATAGCTTAAGTATAAAGTGGTCCTCAAAGTAAAACAATCATTAGATAACATTCAACTTCAAACATTTGTCTGGTTTTTGATAAAGATACTAAAAAAAAATACAAAAACTAAATGATGAAGACACTAGAAGCGAGTAAACAAAGCCGCCACTTTATGAATTCTGAAAGTACTTTGAGAACTTCAACTTGGCCCAGAGACATCTTGGCCACTCTATAAATAAGAAAAATATAATTATCAACAAAGAGAGAAATGTCTGCAAACTGGCTCCAAATGTATGATAATGATGGTCTCTTTTTACAAAGTTGGAGCTGTCTATTTGAGTGATAAAAGTTTGATTTTAATAAAAAAAGATCTTGTAGTAGTTGCTCCAAATTGTCACTGTACTTTCAAATTTCGGTCTCACTAATTAGAGACAAGAAGAATTTTAGCACCAAGAAGCGACATGCATTTATACACTATGCAGGACACTGTGAATATATTATCTTAAACATATCCTTGATAATAAAATAAACAGCTGTGCCATGAGCGCATGATACGCCCGTCTTCTTGTGTGTGAGGTTTTATGCAATAATCATAAATCGTTTCTAAGATATGACGCGACATGTGAAAACCCCCCTTTTTTTATAAAAAAATCAATAACTCTAAAATAAAATTTTGAATCATCACCAAAAAGTATACAGATCTTAAGATTAATATAATGAAGAAGTGTGTAAAGTTTTAAGCAATAATCATAAATTGTTTTTGAGATACAGCACGACATGTGAAAACCCCCACTTTTTTTACAAAAAACTCAAAAAATCAATAACTCTAAAATAAAATTTTGAATCATCACCAAAAAGTATACAGATCTTTAGATTAATATAATTAAGAAGTGTGTAAAGTTTTAAGCAATAATCATAAATCGTTTTTGAGATACGGCGTGACATGTGAAAATCCCCCCTTTTTTTACAAAAAACTCAATCACTCTTTAAAAAAATTTTGAATCATCACCAAAAGGTATACAGATCTTTAGATTAATATAACTTGAGCAAATGTTAATTTTCTTCTATCAGAAATGATCAGTATAATCAGAATTCCATCATTATATTACTGGTAGTAATGGACTTCTGCAACTTCCAGCAAGAACTGAAGGTCATAAACTCAGCAATCAATTGTGCTATTAATAACATAGGACTTTGGGAAAGTTGGAAGAGCCGACAACCTTGCTTCTGGTATAGTGAAATAATGAAAATACATGCGACAACCTTGCTTCTGGTATAGTGAAATAATGAAAATACATAGATATAGGAAGATGTGGTATGAGTGCCACTGAGACAACTCTCCATCCAAGTTACAATTTATATAAGTAAACCATTATCGGTCAAGGTACAGCCTTCAACACGGACCATTGGCTCACACCGAACAGCAAGCTATAAAGGGCCCCAAAAAATGACTAGTGTAAAACCATTCAAATGGAAAAACCAACGGTCTAATCTATATAAAACATGTATATTAAAAAATAACCTGCAAAGCATGTTACTATATTTATTTATTAAAAATAATTAATATAAAGATTTCTTGATCCTTACTTTGTTTTCCTTTCGCTAAACTATTCTTCTTGTCGACTAATAAGTGAGACCCTCAAACTTAATTAACGCATGCTTTCTACCAAATCTACTTTAAAAACATCTGGTTACAATAAATAGATATTTTGAATTACGTAAGATTGAAGATAAGTAAGATGGACTACATGTATAAAATTTAATGCAAATAAAAGGGAGATAATAAACATGAGAATATAGAACACTAACTTTAGTGATTGTTTTTTTAAGCCTAACTGTACATTTGTTTCATAAAATGATGCAGACACTATTTTACAAACTTGCAACCAATCATATGTACAAATTGGTGTCAAGATGAGGCATGGAGGTAAAAAAAATTGTAATGTACAGAAAGGGATGCGGAAACACTCCTAGAAACAGTACTATGTTTAGACATGAACAGCCAGCAGTAATGGAATTCAAATGACTTGAACATCTTCTTCCACCAAAAATAGAAAACAAGTGTAATAAGTGGTCTGTTTTGTCTTTCAAACTGTTAAGAGTTGTCTTGTGAACTGGTCTGAGTGTCTTCAAAAGTGGTCAGAGTTGTCTTTAAAAGTGGTCCGAGTTATCTTGAAATTGGACTGTGTTGTCATGTAGTCTGTTGAAGAAATCTGTCAAGTATTTATGTTATTACATCACATTAAGCACAAATTGCTTGTTGACGTTGTTTAAGTTGACTGACCTGATGTCAATGGTGTAACTCATTCATAAAAAACAACTCGAGATTGATGAGGGGGTGGACAGCTTTTGAGGGAGGTGGGAAGTGGGGAGGGGGGCAGGAGGTGGGAGAGAAACAAAGATTCTAAAAGTGGGAGGTGGGCGATAGGGGCGGGAGGTGGGAGAAGGGTACCCCCTGATGTAGGTGTCAGTGGTGTGACTGTGAATGCAAGTGATCGACAGTGACATGACACAATCACACCATACATTACATATCATAATTCATGAGAATACAACAACCTCAGTGGATATATATAACAGAACTTAAATATGAACTGTATCACTTATGAATGAACCAACATTTATCATTTCTATTTTACGGGATATCTTCAAATCAAAGTTTCTGTTGATGCTGACGTTTTTCGCCTTACAAGACTAAATTCGGAACCGTTTCCGGAACTTCCGGTATTTTGAATCCGGGTGCACAAGGCCGGTCACGAAAAAGAATCTCTTACCATACAGCTTGTCTTAGTTTTGTTCCCACGATGGTTTTTTTGACAAAAAAAATAGCATACAAGCTATTTAAGTTTCACCTAGTCAATTCAAATGTGTTATAAAAATATACATTCATGTGCTACTTTTAGAAAGATGCGAAACATATTTCAAACATTGACTCCGACGCAAAATTTTGGTTTCTTGGACATTTATGAGTCATTTATATCCTTTGGACAGATATACATAACTTTTTTGTTTCAAAAGATAAACACAAGCGGATTTTTGTAAAACCAATATCTCTTTACCATAAGTATGATATAAATTTGTGTAAGAATTCTTTGAAAATTATTAACATTTTTATCAAATTTTCACAATTTTAGAAAAAAAATCCGAGGCATTTTTTGCTATAAATTTTATCTTATTTAAAAAAGAATTCATCGGTGATTTGTTCATTGAAATTGACACAAATATTCATTATACACAATCAACCCAATTGTGCATGGCAATACATAGTCCACTACCGGTTAAAAATATATTGTACTGGAACAAAATGCTAACTTGATCTACAACTTGTGATGGTGCAAACTATATAACAAATATCAAATCATTATATTCAAGTATGACCCCCAAAAATTGTGGAAAACTGGTTATTTGCGTGATTTTTCTTAGTCCAAGGACCATTTATAACTCTGCACAGAATCATCAGATCGGAACAAAATTAGAACTTGATCTGTAACTTGTCATAGTAAAACTACATACCAAATATCAAATCAATATTTTTAGGCATGACAAAAAAAAAGTGCGGAAAACTGATTACCGCCGCATGAATTTTCGAAGTCCAAGGACCATTACTCTGTACAAAATCATCAGACTGGAACAACCTTGATCTGTAACTGGTCATGATAATCCTAAGTACCAAATATCAAATCAATGTGTTCAAGCACGAAGAAAAAAAGTGTGGAAAACTGATTTGCCGGACTGACGGATGGACAGACAGACAGACGGACGGAGTGCAAACCTATCGTCCCCTTCGACTTCTTCGGTAGGGGACTAAAGAGGGGTCCATGATTCACAATTAATCAAGCTTGTCTGTTCTTTTTTCAAATCCAAGCACAGTGTTGATGCTCTTGTTTACAGTAAAGTCTACTTGGTAGTTTTTGCCGGCTAAGCAATGACTAGAGTCGCTGTCAGAGTAATTTTATTAGCACAGATAATGTTCTTGTTTTGAATTTGTTGAGTTGAATATGTTGTTGAATCTTATTGTTGATGGCACCGATCATTGTAAGAACCAGTGTTTAATGGCCGAATGAGCTATATCGCACCTTCATCCGGAGAATACTTGAGGGTGGAATTTCTCTCATGGATGTTTAGGAAAGAGTAAAAAGTCTACAAATTTACTAAAGCCATCTCATTACATTGCCCGTCTTTTAAGTGAAGGGGTGGATTGAACTCAACAAAAGCTGGCGATCGTTTGAATACACTTGTTTAGGGTCTGTATACTGTTCACTCTGTATTTTTAACATTTTGTTGTTTTCTATTCTTTTATTTTCTTGAAAACACGACCTTTTTCTGTCCATTAGATGTGAATGCGTCTGTATTTGCTGGAGCATGTCGCTCAATTTCAGCTCTGAATTGATACTAGTATCAACCACGAATTCCTTCAACTTTTCAGACAGTTTACTAACATCAAATAAAAAACACAGAGGATAAAAATCTAAAAAATCTGAAGGGTTAAGCTTACTATACTAATGCGAAAATCCATATTGTAAAACTTTTTGCGAAAGTCGGATTCTTCTTTGTATAATCTAGATACATTACATTGAGTATCTACTACTGGATAGCAATCCGCACTGAGATTGGCATGGATGTTTTTCAAACTTCAGTGACCAAACACGGCTGCATTATGGGTCTGATTATTATTTTTTGTCAGTTTGGAAGGCTACAATGATCTACCTAGGGTTTGACGACTTCGGGCAGATAATCTCCAAATAAAGAGTGTATTTTGGGAAACAGCTATGGAAACACTGTCTAAAAAGAAATCACATTTTAGTGCGGTCTTGCTTTGAATTGTTTTTTTTATTAAAGTTTCAATTTGTTTTCGTCAGAAGGTTTAACATTAGGAACAAACACAGATATAAGAAGATGTGGTATGAGTGCCAATGAGACAACTCTCCATTCAAGTCACAATTTGTAAAAGTAAACCATTATAGGTCAAAGTATGGCCTTCAACACGGAGCCTTGGCTCACACCGCAAGCTATAACGGGCCCCAAGAATGACTAGTGTAAAACCATTCAAACAGGAAAACCAACGGTCTAATCTATATAAAAAACGAGAAACGAGAAACACTTATGAACCACATCAACAAACGACAACCACTGAACATCAGGTTCCTGACTTAGGACAGGTGCAAACAAATGCAGCGGGTTTAAACCTTTTAATAGGCGCCAACCTTCACCCTACCTGAAACAATAGTGTAACAGCACAACATAGAAAGACACACTATAAAATATCAATTGAAATGGCCTAACTCAATCAAAAGACATATTAACAAAAACAAGTGAACATACACTGAACGAATAAATTTGATCTATGACACAATGTAAATACAAAATTAATAAAACAAAGGGGTTAGATGTATATCAATATCAAAAAAGACAACAATAACCTTGGACAAAATGCCGCCAAATAAAATAACGTGCATAGGTAAATAAAATTAATTTTGTTGTAAGTTATACATGGAGTACGGAAATAATTTTTATAAAATAAATAATTTTGTTGTTCCTAGTACGAGAACAAAAGTGAAAATTTATCGTCATACTAAACATTAATCAAAAGTGGTATATATTAGTGAGACTAGATATAACACTGAATAAATAAACATTAAATAACAAAAATACATTAAAAATTGTATCAACAGGCCAAATTAACTCCAAAGTACGATTTGAGAGTACTCGCTGTTACTGAAAGCTAGTTAAAAGCCAAAAATAATTTATAATAAAAATCATGCATCAGAGACTAAAATCAACTAAAACACATCCCTGTGATTTAGTGTTTTAACGTCATGGACAGTCAAAGAAGACATGACCTGTGTAATGCTAAAATAAAAGTATCGATAGGCAGTAGGATAGTTAGGAGTTAACCTGTTAATAAATATGTATAATGTAATATATAGATAGAGTAATCGCTATATAGAAAACGAACGTGGATGTGTATTTATACATCCCAAAACACCGTTTGAAAATAATACAAATTTAGTTATGTTTTAATTTGCTGATGACAAAATCGATATTTGTGCCAATGTAAACTATATTCAAAGATCTAATTACAACATTGGTAAGATAACCTTTACTATTAAGTTTGTTTAAAGGTTCGATGAGTTAACATGGATCACATAGTGATTTCCGCGCTTTAAGTACAATATTACCGTAAAATTTAGGATGTGAAATACCGTTTTTAATAAGTTTTCTACAGGTACAGCCAAATTTACTAATCAAATCTTTGTATCTATGAAAGAATTTAGGTAAAGTTTTAAGCAATTTATGGTAACGAAATCCCTGACTTAATAATTTACCAGTGATGCATTGATTACGTTCGTTCAAATCTATGACATCACTTCACACACGGGCATAACGAACGAATTGGGATATATAAACACTGTATGATGGAGCCAAAGGAACATCGCCGTCTAAAAAGGGAAAATTAACAATAGGGAATGAAAAATCGTCTCTTTTGTCGTAAATTTTAGTATGGAGTTTCCCTTTAAACATTGAAATGTCTAAATCTAGAAAAGGACAACTACTGCTGTTTATGTTAGATTTATTAAAAGTAAGTTCCTTTGGATACATTTCGGTAGTATATTTAGAGAACGGTAGGTATTGCTGAATGTATCAACCAAATGTAACAATGACGTGTCTTTACTGGGTTTGGTCATAAACTGAGATTCATAGCAATATAGGAATAAATCTGCTATTAAAGGGGCACAGTTAGTGCCCATAGGAATACCTACTACCTGTCGATACATTTTATCGCCGAAACGTACATATATGTTGTCCAGGAGAAAATTTAAAGCTTCAATTATATCACATTTCCAGTAAGTGTATCTAGCATACTTTCCTTTTTCGTTACAGAAAAAAGCTTTAAACGAGTTACAGCAAATAAATTTGCAATGAGATTTTTCAAAAGACCATTTAATTAAATATGAAAACTTTTTCTTTATAAGATTGTGTGGAAGTGTAGTGTAGAGAGTAGAAAAATCAGAACTGTCAACAGAATTAAAAGGACCATCAAAAGCACGTAGTTTATCTAAAACCTCTAATGAATTTTTAACACTCATAAATAATTAATACCATTATTTCCATAAGCTTTATTATATACAAAAGTTAATAACAAGTTCTTTGATAGTAGTAAGGGAGGTAGTTAGAAGCACTGACAGATTAGTAGTAGAACACTTACTAGATGCGGAGATGAAACGGAATTTAAATGGTTGTTTGTGTAATTTGGGTAACCAGTACATAGTCGGGAATTTTAAGATGGAGGACGATATTTAGGTCCTTTCTTAGGAAAAGTTTTGACCTCACGGTCTTCGACGATGTTGAGGTCTCCTGTAATGACATGACCTTAGGGAACATATCCAAAACTAGATGTTTCACAGTCTCAAGTGGAAGGAGCATTATTTTCTTTATTGATGTCTGTTGAAACTAACGTATTATTAAAAATCAAACTTCTGCTGGTTTTTTTTTAAGAATACGAAATAATAGGTGGTTCTGTATTATCAAAATATGGAGGTATTTGACTATGGATGGTAGAGTCATTGAATATACTAGACAAGTTAATAAAATCAATACCTCTATTTATATATTTTAATTTAAGAAAATGCCGTTTATGATTTTCAGGTTTATCGATACTAGGAAACAGCCGAAGATGACAAAAGGCTGTTATAATACGGGTGTA